ATTGAAAAGCGATTTACTTGTAGAAACTCAATCCCTATTAAAAGTGACGTAAACAAAGAGGAGAATATAATATTAAGAGACTCTTTGGGATTTCTAAAGGGTAACACCGAAAAGGAAGCTGCAAAGAAGAGCAATGAAGAAATTGGAGCACCTAAAAATTATATGGAAGATTCTGAGGTTAACGACAACGAAGAAGCCTCCAGGATTAACACTGAAAATGGCATGACGAACAATGAATTAGGTTATCCGGGAACTTCGGAGGGTAACAATGTCGGAGAAGCTTCCAAAATTCATGATAATGATAAGATAAATAAAAATTTAAAGGGTTCTTTAAAAACTCCGGAGGCTGATAATGACGCGAAGAATCGTAAATTAAATAATGCATTAAAAGATGTTGCAATGAGTCCAAGTAATAGCGATGATACTGATCAATTGAGGTCGAAAGCACATGACCTTCCAGCAAAAAATGCTAATAATGATTCAACAAAAAAACTGCGAGGGAGTAAGAATATAGTGACTATTGCTAGTTTGAGCGCATTAGGCGCCGTTGCTTTAGTTGGCTCTATTTCAGGTTTCACTTATTATTTTAAAAAGAAACCGGTGGTTAGCGAAGGGGCTGAAATACAAATTAGTGAAGGCCTCACTTCAACTTCTGATAATCCCTTGTTTTTTAATTATTTAAACTCTGTAGATAACACAACTTTTTAATAAAATTTTTATTATTCAGAAAGATATGCTAATCTCTTTCCTTAGGAGGCTTTTCCGAAACGCTTAAAAACCTTTCTAATCTAGTGATTTGCCACACCAATCGGCGACTATTTTTTTAAATTTCAGCAAGTATTTTACGTAACTAAGCTGTTAACAGAGTACTTCCGCTTTTTTCGTGAACGGCAAGCACTTTATTAATTTTAAGAATTTTTAAGTTTGCATAAACCGTTAAAGCTTTCGTTTTACCGTATTGTTTTTTATGATAACCCCCTTTCTTTCCTTACTTTGTTTTTATATATTCTCTTCTTACAAAATAGCAGGTGTATTAATACAGCAATATAATTTTACAAATTGTTTTACAAGTAACTTATAAGTTGAGTAGTTAACTATAAGTGATTCACTGGTGGGGAGCCCCTTACTAATAAAAATTTGAGTTGGCTAATAATTTATTATCTTATAGTTTAAACGTACATTTAGCTCACATGATTATGAAAGGACCACCGCTGCATTATTCGTAAGAGTTAAACTGTAAAAATTCAAAGTTTTCCTGAATTATCTTTTTTTCTTTTTCATTCTAATTCATAAATGTAATTGACTGCTTACTTCAGTAACTAGCAACCTTTTGAAACGTCGTTTTTAAAGGTTTCTAACGTGCCCTATGGAGCTTTATTACAACTTAACCAAATATAAATTATTTACTAGTTCATATAATAATACTGTTTTATAATACTTTTCCTGTATTAACCTCTGGGTAATAGTACTATTTTTTCTTCTTTCATTCACTATTATATTTTTATTATTATGAAATTATAGGCATTGATGATCTTTGAACAGAAAACTATTGTAACCAATTTTAAGTCTAAGAAATAGGAGGAATTTTAAACGGGCTGCAGAAATATAACAAACAAAATTTTTTAACCATAAAAAAAAATGCTAAATTTCACAGTAGTGAATGATAATTATGCTTATTAAGAAGCTAAGTAAAATCAACACAACAATAAGGTAATAATCAATGAACGAAAAAAATAAACAGAATAAAATTTATTTGGAAAGATAATAAAAACTCAAACTTGTTAATTTGAATGTTTAATTCCTGTACCTCTATTTTTTCCCCTTTATGTAGTTGTAATAAAATACTGTAAACCCTCTAATAAGCATTGAAGTAAAGTATGTTGCTTGGATTTAATTTTTATACGACTAATACGTTTCCTAAATTTTTAGTAAGTTATTTAAGGTTAACTACCTATTAAATATTCAGAAGGCATCTCATCGCCTCAGCTATGCGCTTCAAGCAAAAAAGAATTATACGCATGATACTAAAACTCCTTGTACCAAGTTGACCACCTGTTTGAAGATATGGAGGCGTTCCGTTGCGTGCACTGAAACCTCAGTTGCGTGGACATAGGGTCGCAGCGAGGCGAAGACCAATTAGCATTAACACGTTAGGAAAGAGTTGTTTGCACAAGACAATTGCCCATAGGGTTTTCAGAGATACAGAAAACATTACGTTTGCCCCTTTCTCTCTATGACAGCGAGCTTGAGGTCGAAAATGCGTAAACAGGTCAAAACGCCGATGCCAACCGCTTTTCGGGTTCTTGCTGACCATCATAGTTTAAACTCAAAGAACTGTTAATTAGTTAACGAGACGGAAGACACGCTGATTTGAAGGTATCACCAATTTAATGCTGAAGAAGTGTCGTGGGTGGTAATGGATTTTTGCATGCTGGCTCATACTCTATATTTTGCGGGCCCTTTCTCCGTTAGTGATAAAAGATAGCGATCATGATGAGGCCACCAAAACAACGCGTCCAACTTCTACTTTAAAAAAAGAAAACCTATCAACCTCTTGTAGCGGGTCGGCGAGACAGTGGGCTGCGAGCTTAAAAAAGTTTGTCGACGAATCGTTATATGCCTTGCTAGTGTTCCAGTTTAAATTTCGACAAAGAACATTCAACTTCGGAGCAGCTCCCTTAGTACTACAGAATGTTTGACCTGGGCCCTGAATTTTAAGAAAGCACCAGGAGCTGCATTTTTTAATTCTAAAGTTTGGCACAAGCTTCCTTCACAATTTGTAGGCCATACCTATCTTCTTGTACTATTTAACCTGCTCAAATCTTATTTTAAAACCGCAACTTCTATGCCCATGTGGGTGGTGCACAGGCCGTTTAAACTACTTGCAGAGAGGCCCTACAAGGTGATCTTCAATTCACTCTTGTGCTGCAGTCGATAACTCCCATATCCGGAGTATCTAAGAAGTATACGTTATGGCAATTCACTTCTCGCCCTGGTTGCCGGTCTTATTGCGCCAGCGGGTTGGGGGAAGGTTAAGGCTGAGATCAAACTCTCTGTAAAGCAGACTATCGCTTGTAGGTATTTTTTATTCCATCGTTCATGACATACGAGTTCACTGCCTGGGCCTACGACTTGCAGGCATTTTTTAAGCGATCTTGACGGTCGCTTGCTTAAATTTGGTCTAATGCCCTACGCCAAGCCCTCCAACTCGAGCCCCTAGTAACCGTTTATAACATAATGCTAGTCGCCTACTAACCGCGTGCTCAGCACACTAATCGATAATTGAGAGAAGGTAAATAAAATGTTATTTGAAGCAGTATAAGGCCTACAGCATCAAATTATTTACGTATCGACTAGTGAGAATAATGGAAATCAAATAAATTTTTTATTTACGCGAAACTATTGTTTCGGTTAAAAGTTAAGACACCTCTCCGCCCCTAAAAGTGCCGACTTCGAAAAACGCAAATATTGTATGGGCACTTTTACGTTATTGTCAACAACTAAAAAGTATTTTACCTCTAACAAGGGATGTAAAACGAGTAATGAAAACCTATTGGTAATAGTGCTAATGATAACGATAATAATAGTATTAGTTAAATTTTAAAACCGTTTATAGTAAAAACAGTACTAGCAACCTTGTCATAATAGTTTTAATAAAGTTAGTGCGTCTATAGTGATAACAGTGGTAATTATAAAAAACGTTTTTGTAAAAATTACACATCTTGTTCTGTGAGATAAAAGTAAGGGAATTTTTTTTTTAATCTTACAAAAGAATATGACATCCTTAGCGCCTTTTTAAAAGACCGTTTGTTATAAAAACGGTCGAACGGTTTTAGGTAGTGTACAAGATTTTTATTTGAATATTTACTAATATTTTATTCTTGTCAGCTACTAAAGGAGAAAGATTCGAAGAAGACGAATTCTGGGAATGATAAAATAGTTGTAGGTTTTTATTTATATTTTGGTTTGTTAACCATTAAAAGTGTTTTTACTTTTGATAACTTTGGGGCCTCGACTTAAAAAGATTATATTACACGCAATTTCACCTTAGCCATGATTTTTACCTTCACAAGGTTGAATACCTTTCAGATTATAAAAGATTTAGAAACTTATTAATCCACTCGTCAAAAGTTGTTAGAAGAGAAATAGAACAGAAAACAAGCCAGTTGCCATTTGTATATGTATACGTTTTTTAAAAAAAAGGCTACATCAAAAAGCTCTAAGTGCCGTCTCCTCCCTTTTAAGACTTTACGAATAAGCAGATAAATAAGCCGATGGCAACTTTTATAGACAGTTTTAGAGTTCACGGAGTTGCGGGAGTTAATTTTAAATCCGAATACTACAAAAACAGAGAGGGTAAACATGAAAGTTTACCCCAATTGAATTTAATCAGAGTCGAACTCAGAAAGAAATTCAATAGTAGTCATAATAAATAAATTACACCGCTCAAAGTCACCTATGTGGTCGTAAAAAAAATTAGTACCACTATCGTTTAGGAACAAAGACATATATATACCTGGACGAAAAAAAGTTAAAAAGCACAACTTCTTTGTATTTTTGCTTTAAACACATACAGCGGCTTTTTTTCTAAGTGAACGCTATCATCTTTTGTGCAAATTAAAGACTTTTAGAGCGCAGATAAAACTTTGTTTATATAGAAAAATTATTTGCTAGAAATTTGTTTCTGGATACTGACGTTATTTTTCTTTTGAAATACACCTTAAACCAGTACTGTTTGTAATAAAGTGAAGAGGAATCAAACCTAGGACTACGGAATAAAGGGGGGGAGGTATAGAACAAATTTTAATGGTAATCTTTATACTTATTTAATTTTAAAAAGTACTCAAGAGTGGAATGAGAGAGAAAGTTATGAATTATCTTTTTAAAAAAAATGAGTGCTTAGGATTTATCGATTACCTAAATTTATTTTTAGATTAAAAAACACTGGTTTTCTTAAAATTTTTTTATTGTAAATAATAAATGTTTAAAGAAAAAGCTTCCGAGCGAATTATAGAATTGCGGGTACGTAATAAGTAAAAGATAAATCTTCAGTTTCAAGGTACAGCACTGCGGCTTTATTTTCTATTATACCTGCAAAATATTTATAATTTTAATTATAAAATTTTAAATATTGTTAATGGAGTTGTACTCACAACAAATTGTAGAGGTGGGAAGGAGATGGTAAGAAAGCAAGAACTGCGAAAATCTATTTAATGATGTTTATATAAAAGCATATTAAATCAAATTAAAAAACTTTTTTATTATTATAAAAATTTAACCAAATTTTTTTTTAGATTGCAAAGAATTTGTTCAATAAATTTATAATATAAGAACTCTGGTTAGTTATCTTGGAAGAATTAAATGTCAGGCTAATACGGACTTTCTATATTATAGAGCAAAACTGTTATCCCCTTCCCCCCCTCCCCCACTTTTTTTTTTACTCACCCCCGCACACTCTCTTTAGATATTTTATATATATATATATATAAATTTTAGGCCTTTAGACGAGAAACAAAAAAAATATTTGCTTCAAATGCGAGTTTTAGTGCCCTGAAATAACTCACCTTTCTATATTGAATTTTGAATTTTTAGTTTTTCTAGGCATTTTGGCTACATAACGGGCATTAGCTTATTTGTTATAACTATATTATAATTAGGATATATATTTACCAATTTATATTTAAAAAAAGTTAAGCTTTATTGTTATATTATAAAACTTAAGAAAAACATGTTTTCTAGCTACACACAGATATGTTTTGGCCTAATATATAAAAGTAGCTAACAGCTAATCTAAGCGAGCCCGGATTTTTCTCAAGTGTCATTTTGATGTAAAAGTTCTATTTATGACAACATTGAAAACAAGATTGGCGGTAAACTTCTAACAAGTTAAAGGTTAAAAATAGGAAGTTGTATTGGTTAATTTTGTACAGGAATGGGATGGCAACTAGTTAAGATAGTTCCTATTCCCCTTAGCTTTTTTTATTTGCGTATTTCTATAGATTTTCAAGAGTTGATAGTAAAATTTTTTATCCTTTAACAACAAGGATGTGCCGGTAAACGGCTAAAGTAGATTTTATTTATAAGTTTTCTCTTTCTCTTAAATTCTTTTTTATTTTTCTTTAAAAAATTTTAAGTTATAAAAAAAAAGGGTCGAAAGTAACATTGCTTATCCTGTTACGTTTGCAAAGTAAGTAAATCAAAAAAATTTTCTCTGCTTTTATTCTAGAGGCGCTTTTTTGTTGCACCGCTCAGCCTTAATAAATTAAATCCACATTTTCTCCGAGCTGGAACTTAAATCTTCCACATTAACTTACTGAGTGCACCTTAAACCAACATTTTGGACGCTAGATGATTTAGACTTATCAATCTGTCTTATATGCACTACAACGTTTACACGATTTGGGTTCGATTAGTACTAAAAACCTGTGTTCGTGCCGATCTTTTTTAGCGGCGTTACCCTTTAAGGAAGGCCGCTAGCTTGAATTAAAAAAGAAAAATCTTTAATTATAATTTCTTAACAAAATGCAATATAAAAATAATAAAGCTAAAAGAGTTTTTTTTATAAGTAACAAAAAACATAATTTTAATTTTAAATAAAAACTCATTATATTTCTTAAACAGAAGCAATTTCAGGTTATAACAGGAAAAAAAAAGCTTAAAGGCATAAGTATAGTATGAAAATTATACTTTATATAAATAATTACCTTTTAATGTCTATTCTAATTTCACTAAAAGCAGTTTCATTTCTTGTTTTAGTGGGAACGAAGCCTTCAACTAACGCAAATAAATTATAAATTATAAGATTAAACTTTAAGCCAAAAATTATATAATTATTATATAATATTAAAGTTTATATATGAAAAAGTTAATAAAGTAATACGATTGCATGTTTTTATTATTAATACAAACACTTTATAATACTATATTACGAAATTTAAAATAAAAATAAAAGTTAAACCTAAAATTTCTGAAGTTATGTTTTACTAATTCATTTTATTATTATAAAAAAATTTCTTAACCATTAACTAACTTTTTTATTAAAAAATTTACAATTTACTACTTTTTTTGTTTACAAAAAAGAAGGTAAAATTTTAATTTAAATTAAAGTTTATAAATTTTTTCACTTAATTTCTTTATATAAACTTCAAGTAAAAATTTTTTTTTTAATTATAAAATAAAATTTTGTTAGTCGTACTTTTAAAATCATTTTATGAACTAAAGAAAAACCTTTAAAATTTCTATTTTTTCTACAAAAATAACTCTAACGGCTTCCTCAACCAAAAAATAAACGCAAGTTTTTATAATTATTTATTATATTGTTACATATAAATTTTAGATTTTTTTAATTTTTTAATAAAACATTTATTGTATTTAAATTCAAGTTATACAATATTTCGTAAAAAGCTTAAGTTTGGAATAAATAATACTTTAAATCATTATAAAAAACTTTTTCAAGTAATAATCAAAATTTATGTTTTGTATATATTTTTATAAATTTAAATATAAAAGTATAATTATTACAATATTAATAGTATAATATTATTATAATAATAATATATAAAAGAGCTACCAAACTTTGGGTTTTCCAAATCTTTAACGACGGACTTTACTGAAACGTTATCTGCAGTATTAAGATTGTTTTACTTAAAAGTTTGTTATACATATATATTTCTTATAATAAATAAAAATTAAAAATTTTTTCAATAAAATTTTACATATTGCGTAGCGCTATTAAAAATTGTAATGTTATTTATTATTATTATTAATCGCGTTTTATAATTCTCTCATAAATAATATTATAAACTCCTTATAAATATTGAATTTTTTCCAGTAACGCAAAAGAAAACTACTAATCATTATAATTTAAGAAAATATAATCGTTATATTATAAAAAACATAAACAACAAAGTAAATACTTTTATAAAAACTAATTATATATTAAAAGTATTCACTCAACAACTTTACATTCTAAAAATAAAAAATAAGAAAATTTAATAAAATATTAATTAGTGAAAAAAATGATAATAAACTTTATTTTCTCTAAAGCTTTTTAAAAACTATAAAGATATAGAAGTAAGAAGATATATTTTTAAGCAGTTACCAGAGTCAATTATTAATTGTAGCTCTCCATTATAATTCGCTTTTATAATAATATTGTTACTCAAAACTTTCATTCGATCAACTTTATAATAATAAAAAAATAATAATAGTAATAATAATTTATAATAATAATAAAAATAATATTTAAGAAATCATTATAAAATAATTTAGAAGCTAAAAAAAAGTTATTAACAGGCCAACCGAGATTTTTCAAAATTTTTAATGACGGTAAAAAAATGTTGACCTAAATAAATTATTTTAATGAATTTTTTAAAAGTTAATAAATGTCTTCTATTTTCTAAAAATGACAAAAAAAATTTATGCAAGTATAAAGAATTGTTATTAAATATTTTTTTTTAAAAATGTATTACAAACTTTTTTTAAAATTTTGTAAACATGAAATTTAATAAATTTTATGATAGCAAAAAAAAATAATCAAAACAGCACATAATATTTTATAATTATATTATATATATTTAAAAACGCGATACTCGCGTCGAAATTTATAATAAAGGCACTTTTTTGAATTTATTTTTATAAAGTTTTAGTAAAAATAAAGAATACATTCGATCAGTAATAAGTATTATTAATTCTTTTTCTCTAAATAAAAAAAATTATTGCAATACTTTTTAATATAAAGTTCAAGTAAATATTAAAAATAATAAAGTAAATCGCGAATAAAATAAAGTATGTCAATATTTTTAAGTTAAAAAGTTAAGGTATATAATAATTTTTACTTTACAGAAGTAAATAAATAATTTATTTCTAAGAGTTCAATTCTTTTCGAGCAAAATATTAAAGTATAATTAAATTTTTTTTATAAAAATAATAAAGTAAACCAGCAAAAATTGTATATCATTTTTGTATAAAAAGTTGAAGTAAATATAATTAAGTTTTATATTATTAAAATTATAAAATACTATTAAAATGCGTAAATTATTAAGTCTTACTTTAACATAATTATTAAGTAAATTACTAGGACAAAACATAAATCATTATTATTTAAAAAGTTAATGTAAAATATAATTATGTTTTGTTTTATAATAATTATTACGAAAAATTCTATTAAAATGTTTAAGTTAAAAATTTAAAGCAAATTAAAAATAAGAATATTTTTATAAGATAATTAAGTAAATTTCTAAAAAAAAATTTCATTTTTATTTAAAAAGTTTAAATAAAATTACAAAGTTCTACTTTATTTTAAAAATTAAGTAAATCACTATTAAAAAAATATAAATTATCTACAAGTTAGAAATTTTAAGAAAAGTATTTAAATTTTACTTTATTTTAATAAAGTAAATTGCATTTAAACTATTAATATATTATTATAAAAAGTTTAATATATTTTTATTTACTATTAAAATTTTGAATAATATAGCTTTTAACTTTTCTTATAAGTGATATATAATTATAATTAACTTAGAAAAATTACTTAGTAAACCACTATTAGATATATCTATATAAAAGCTCTTCATACGTCTGGCTCTGGGAGTGTTGGCTCCGTATACTCTTCCGTTTGAGAATGTGGAAGAATCTGGCACGGGACTTCTTGGAGTATATTTCTAAGTAGATGATTCAATGAACTCTATGGTAATGCAAGTTAGGAATACATATTTATATAAAAGTAAAAGAAAAAAGACAACAAATTTTTATGTAAAACTAAAATTTTTCAAAAGCTTATAAAGAAGTTTTTAAAAAATATATAATAAAAAAGTAGTATGTCCAATAAATCATAATTTTTTTATATTTTGTAAAAAAACTAAAAATTCTTACCGTAATTTTTTATTTAATACTATAAATATATTATAAAGTAAAATAAATATAATAATTAAATATTTATATAAAAAATATAAAATATAAAATATTTATTATAGTTTAAAACTTTTAAAAAGTAAATAATGGAGGTGTAAAAGAATAGTTAAGAGGGAGGAATTAACAAAAACATATAATAATAATGTTTAATAATATAATTTTTCTTTTTAATTGTATATACAATCAAAATTGCTTTTATTATATAAATTAATACTAACTTAAAAATAAATAAAGATTGAATTTATTTGTAAAAAAAAAAATTATAAAAATCGTAAATTATAAAAAAATATTTATTTTTTATAAATCCGTATATAAATAATAAACAGAATTTTACTATAATAACGGTAGCAAAGAAATTGATTAAAAAAAGAAAAATGAAAAAGTTATCAACGTTTTACAGTTTTTATGTTATAAAGTTAATATATAAAAAATATAAGCCAGTCAATAATATAATAATAAAAAGAGATTAATAATTAGTAAAATATATTATTTTAAAAGTTTTACATTTTTATTACTTTATGAAAACAGAAAAATTAATATTAAGCAAATCAAATATGTAATAGTACAACTTTTATACTTATAAATAAAATTTTAATAAAAATAAAAGTAAGAAATTATTTATAATGTTTAAGTATTTTTTATTTATTTTATTTTACTATTATTTGACATAAATAAATAACTAATTGTTTTAAAAATTATAATTTTATAAAATTTTTATTATTATTTTCGACTAATTCTTATTTTCTATAATTATTTATATAATATATAAATAGATAACGCTTTAAAAAAAATTATTACCTAAAATTCATATAAATTAGTTGTCTTATAACGCTCTATTATATTAAATAAATAAAAATTTTATTCACAAATATGCTGAATTTATTTTTTTTCCTTACTATCATTAACAAATAAAACACTATTACAAATAAATTCTAATTAGTTTAAGAAAATAATAAATGAAAAGATTAATATTTAAAATTTCAATTTTTTATTAAAATATATATATTTTATAATATTATTATTAGTATTAAGTAAGAAATCTTTAAAAAATTAAATGGTACATAGAAATTCTAATAAGTTTAAAAATAGGTGATAAGATTCTCATCATACCTTTATAATAAAAATACTCTTATTTTAGATATTAAATTTATTTAATAAAACTTTTATTACCTATAAATCCAAATAAGTTAAAAAAACTATTAGATTTTCATAATTCTTTTTAATTTATAAATAAAATAAAAATGCAGTAATTCCTCTTAAGAGTAAAAATTTAAACAGCGTATTAACGCTAACGCCTTCAAAATGCGGAAGTTTTTATAGTTAGCAAACTGGTTAGCATAAGAACTTTTTTAGAATCCATAAAATTTATAATAAAGAAGAAATTAGTATTAATATAAAATACTTATTACATAAAATAATTAATTATTACATATTTAATAAAAAATAAATTATAAAATAAAAGTTCCTTTAAGTAGAGAGAGCGTATATAATAGAAGTCTTCAAATGATTAAAAAAAAGTTAAAATAATAAAGAGAAGATCACATAAAAATAATTGAAAAAAAATAAAGGAAAATTTCTTTAAAGGTTTGAAAAAATAACATTATAAGAAATCACGTAGTACATAAGAATTATTTATAATTTAAATTAATTAATAATAATTTTAAATTCTTTAATGATATAAAAATTAATTTTTTTTTAAAGCTTAAAAAAAAAGAACTCATAAAATAGAAAAAGTTAAACAAATTAAACATAAAAAATTCTTTTTAATAATTAAAATTTAACAGCATTATAAAACTAAAAGTAAGAAAAGAAGAATTAAAATAAATTAAGAAAAACTAAAAATAAAATAATAAAATTATCTTAAAAAAATTATCTTGTTTAAATTTGAATTAATAATATATAATAGAAAAATAGAATTTAAAAAAAATATTTTGCTGGCATGAAGTAAAGATTTTTATAATACTAAAAAAAGGAAAATCACAAAAATAAGAATTTTAATAAAAATAAAATTAAAAAAATATATTTTAGGATTGGAAGAAAAATTAAATTTAAAAAAGAATTTTTTATATAAAAAAGTTTTTTTTTAAAGCGGAAAGAATTAAAGAATTTAAATAATTCATATACAAAAACAGAAAAAAATCTTTTCGATGAGCATATTATTAAAACTAAAAATAAAAAAAAAAATATTTACTCGCATAAAAGTTAATAACTTTAGTAAAATCAAAAAAAAAAGTAAATATTAGAAAAGCGAATTTTAATGAAATATATTCTTTATTTAAATTTATTAAAAATATATAGTAAATATACATTTTATATAAAATTATTATTATTAGTTATTTTTATTATTAAAGAGAATTTAGTTAGTAGTTTTTATTAAAATATTTCTTTTATAGGAGAACTTTTTAAAACTCAATTAATCTTCTATAATAATTTTTTAAAACTTTTCCAATTACTATTATTGTATTAACAGATATTAGTTTTTATTAAATTTATAATATTTTTAATGTTTTTATTTTTTAATTATTAAAATACTTATATGAAAATTTTTAAAGCTCAAAATAAATATTCTATAATATCTTTAAAAACTTTTATAGTATAACTAAAAATATACTATATTTATTAGTTATTTACATTAAATAGCTAGTTTTCATTACTTTTTTATTATTGATAAATTTCTTATTTTATTTGAAAAATTCTAAAACTTTCGAAAAGAATTAAAGAATTTAAATAATTTTAAAAAATAACATAAAAATAAAGGCCTTTTCGATGATCAAAGAAATGTACGGCTGCTGTTGACGTTTACTTAGACGCATAACAAGGGAAACGCAATTCGTCAGAGAAGTGCGAAGTGCTCTCAGCAGCATCTCAAAATTAAATTTAAACAGAATTTCTAAATTTTATAATGAAACAGTAGAACTTCTGGGTTTTCATAAATAACAACATTTTTATAATATTAAAATTAAACAATATATATAAGAATAAAATGTTTAATTCCTTGGCATTAAAATTTAAATTTTTTTAAAAATATAAAAATAATTTATATAGATTAAAACAAAATTAAAAATTAAAAAATTTATTAAATCGGTAACTAACAAAAGAAGATTTTCATATTAATAATTAAACAAATTTACAATTTCTTTAAAAAAGGTAAACACTTCGTTAACAGTAAAACTTACGCTTTTGGTGAAAATTAAAAAAAAATACTTAAACAATAATTTTTTTAACAAATAAACATTTAATATTAATTTCAAACAAAGTTTATAAATTCATTAAAAAAATATTGATTACTTTATTAACAGTAAAACATGTTTTTTTAAAAAAATTGAAATTCAATTTATATATACATACAAATTCCTTTTCCTAAGAAATAACAAAGTTATCCACGTTATAATAATACAGTTAATACTTCGTTAACAGTAAAACTTATTCTTTTTAAACGAAATTGAAAATAATTTCGTGGAGTATATAAATTTAATTTATTTAACATTTTAACGAATTATGTTTTCTTTTAAAAATCTTCCATTATAAAATTTAAAAAACAGCCTCCTTATATTCACAATGGCTACATTTTCAATCAAATGAGTTTAATGTCCATTATTCTGTCTCTTAAAATAGTGTAGAAAAATAATTTTTTAAACAAGTATTTGCAAGAGAGCAAATGTGCTTAATTAAATTATTAGAATTACTAATTTTTAATTAATTTTTTTACAAAATTATTTAATTTTAATGATAATAGCTATTAGTATACACTTAAAAAATTATAATGATTAAATTTAAATTAATTTTTATAATTAACATCTCCATTAGACTGATAATTTTTTATATAAACATATATACAAGAAAAACCGTTATTTGGATGCTTACTCTCCAGAAGGACATCGCAAAAAATAACTTTCTATATAGAATATATAATAGCTGTAAAAAAAATTGTTATCTTTGAAAACAATTACTTAAAAAAAATTAAGATTAGACGCAGTATATAACTAAATAAAACTCAGCTACCGTTTCCATCTCCGACCAGATTTTAACTTGGCCGTCTGCAATATCTCGGGCGTGCAAAATAAAATATAATTTCTCTCTGAGAAGTAATTAATTATAACTTAAAAAATATTGAGTCAACCTTATTAAAAATATTTAAACCTGCTGAATCGCATAACGCCTTCCCTACTTATTCTTGAAAGCGTATATATAATCCCTTCAAAAGTCATACCAAATATTTAAATAAAGCTCAAATTCAAAAGTTAGTAGCAACATACGAAAAAACTTGCTAACGGCGCTGTGATCAGGCAAAGTTACTTTCATGCGCATAATAAAAGATGCACGAACAAAAAGTATATTTAGTGTGTTCAGCGAACCTTTTTTTTTTACTCCTTTAAGTACACTTTAATTTCAGTAAAGCAAATTAATAAAAAATTTATTGTTTAATAATTTAGTGAAATTAGAAAAATGTTGAAGAAAACGTTTCAAGAAAAAAAAATTTGGAAATTCCCAAATTGTTTAAGAAAAACCTTAGTACGCTTGCTGTAAACCCACAATATACAGAAATTGTATAAATAATTCCTATTATTAACTATAAAAATTACTGATAATACTATAAATTTGCTATTTTCGACTTTTTAAGATGTATATAATTTAATATAATGGAAACTCAGAAGGGCCTGCAAATCAGAGCTCGTTACTCTTCGTGATTGGGGTGCGGTAGGAACGTGTTTCGTTAGTTCTTTAACTTAAATCATGAATATTGTATTTTATACTATACCTATGTTTTTAAATATTAAAGCCTGTAAAATCAACCTTTATAAATTATTTAAATGTAGAATTTTTTTACCTTTACTTATGTTCAAGTAATATTTTTAGGGTTTTTAAAAACTATTGCAATTATAAACTTACTTTTTTACGAACTAGGGGTTTTAAAAAAAAAAGCTGTTGTAAATAACTAAATACAATGCTTTTAAATTTATGTTTGTCATTTGAAACAACCTGATAAGAAAAATTACTTTAAAGTACTTTGTTGAAAATAATTTAATTTTATTAAAAAACACATTTGACTACAGCATTACTAATTTTAGTAGGCCCATCAAAGCCATGTTTTTAGTTTACTAACAGCTAAAATTCAGCGGAGGCCACTGTATATACTCTCGCAGGTTAGCCTTCTTTGCTTCCAGCGTCCGGCAATCAAGTGCGGGCCCAGAAGAAAGAGCTCTCCTAATTAAATCTGGAGAACATAAAAACTAATATGTATGGATTTGTAAAAACAGAGACAGGAGTAATAAACAGAAGAGTTAAAAACACAATAGGAGTGACAACCGACATTCTCTATGTTTATTTTTTCAAATATATCATATAAAATAATCTAAATTATCTAGAATGACTTGTAATACTTTATTAATTGCATTGAGCCTTGATTGTTAAATTCTTCTTCCCAGTTGAGCTTGAGGCTTCTTAGACAGTTATTATTTTCTCTAACCTAGAAGAACTGTAAAAGGGACTTTATACCATATACAATATAATAAAGTTAGTAGGGATAAATTTGATGTACGCCAAGCCCCGGAAACTGGGTAGACATTATGTGTAGCCTAGTAAATACTTTGATTTTAGTAAAGGTAATTAAATTTAATTTTTTTTTAAAAACTGTACCAAAGAAATGTAAGCTACAACACCCTATTTTTGCTCCAAAAATTTTCCTGATGCGATGGTGCAATTTTTAAAAAACCTTTAGCTTCATTCTATTTAAGCTTGTGGTAAATTTGAGTTTCGACATTTTTTATAATATACTTTTCATCTTTAATAGAATTATATACCTTTAAATTTAATTTTTTATAAATTCAAAAACGTTTAAAGAACAAAAAGCTTCAAAACACAAATTAAAAAAATTTAAGCAGTATCCATACGATGCAACAAGGAACACTACCCTAATCGATATCCTCACATTTAAGAACAATAATTAGATTGCATTAAAATGGACATATCAGGAGCGTTTTATAACTAAAAAAACACCTGACATAGTGAAAAAATTTAAAAAGAATTGTGGTAAATGCTTCTGCTCATGTACACTGTATTAAAAACAAGAAATGTATAAACAAATGTAAAAAGGGATATAAAAAACGTTACGCGAACAATAAACAAAATATTAAACCCTTACTATACCGGAGAATTATTTTCCATGACAAATAAAACATTATATATAATAAGAGTGAGCGCAACTTAACATCGCTATGTATGTTTAATGAGAGAGAATATGCCAACTAAATTAGAAAATAACAGAGCTAAATTAGTAAAAATTGATAGTATAATATTTAGAGGAGAATCTCATAAAAAAGCTACTACCTAATATAATGTAAAGATAATGTTCCATGCTGACAATAAAGTTGTCAAAAACAGTAATTGTAACGCATTCTAACAAATGACTAAGGCGTATTGATATAGCGCACCACTTCGTAAAACATGAAATTCAGTGTGTTACAACATAAAAAACATAAGTAAGGCTGACATATTCAAGAAATCATTAATAAAACAAAAACGCGAAAAATCACTAATATTGAAGGATAATGAAAATAATATTATGAAATGTTTTTTTAACATTTGTAGCAATTGAGGGACCGTAGGGTACAACACAACCAAAAAAAATACTATAAAAGGATTATTGTAAAAAAATATATTTTATTTTCTTAAAATTGAAGTTGAAATGTTACGATACTAGTTTCCATTTATTTAGTGAAAATACCATGAAGCTTTATTCTGTTATTTTTGTTATGAAAATAACATTTAATAAAAAATCGATTATTGAGGATAAGGCGATATGTTGTTCCAGATTGACTTATTCTAATTACAAATCGCACCATGTGATAGAATGGTCGAAGGGGTAATTCCAGAAACGTGTGCTAAGTAGCAAATCCTGTGGCTTACAATTTTAAAGGATACTATGACAGATTATTAAATATACCAGGCGAGAGCCGATGGTTTATATGTTGTAGGTGGTGCTAAACTATGAGTTATAGACAGGTCATGAACCCCCCAAACTCGTCTTGGCGAAATTTATGGCTACTTATGAGCTGAGTTAGAAAAAGCTCATACCCATCTTGACAAATTGAAAAATAAAAAAAAGGGAATGAAAACAATTACATGATAAAAAAGTGGATAAAGGGAAGTTTCTTTGTGAATGCAGGGAAAAAATGTGGTAGTAAACTAGGCAGTGAGACTTAGAAGCAAAAACTTGCTAATAGGGATATAAATTTTTTAAAGCTCTGAGATTGTTATTACCCAAGCGCTCTGGGTTTAGATAATTTAGCAGCCAGAAGCCTACTACCGAGGTTTAAAGTGAATTAATAAAAGCTTTTTAGAAAAGCATGGTAAAAACTGGATATTTAAATAAACTTAAAAAATCGTATAGTACAGTAGAGATAAAATGTTATAGAACTTTCTTTAAAATACTTTTAACACGTTTAACTCTAAAAAGAAAAAAAAAAGTTTAATAAAAGAAGTGCTTTAAAACAGCTGTGTTTATATGATTTTAAAGCTTATTAAGGTTTAAATTTAGTATTTCAACAATTGCAAGCTTAAATGGAATTAGTAAGAATGGGCGGGTATACGTGCACGGAAGGTTCTCGAGTGTTCTAATATGTTTTGTAGCCCATGCTTAAGTATTCATAACTATTTGAATGCCTTGCAAGTACTGATTGTCTGTGCCAAAGCACTAGTGCTTATTTGTATAAATGTCAAGTGAACAACGCAATTACTACTAATAAATAGCTATATTAGCCTTTACTACCTTTTATTGACGCCATAGTTTTATACTATCCGAGAAGAAAAAGAATATTCTTAAAAAAGAAATTTTTTTTATTGGGTAAACTTGTACGTCTGTAGACTATTTCGTCGTTATTATTACTATGTTTAAATCTAAATCACTTACAAGTTTGCCTGAATCTAATCATGTCCCGAGCTAGTTGTTACCTTCATTATATGATATTACGTCACAAGATACTTAGCCCGGCTAGCCCTTCTATAAATATCACTTGAGTTAATAGTTTGTTGCATGACCTTTAAATTAATTAATTTTTTGTTTATTTTGATACAAATATATCGGGAATTCTTTCATTTTCTGTAAGAAATAAGTTTAAATAGTTTTAAAGGAACCTCAAACCAAATTATGTAACCACTGGTTCTTATACAGTATTAATAACTACAAAATATATATTATGGACAGCAGGTTGTTAGATCTTTATAGCCTAATTCTTTGAAGTTCTTTTGAAATGTAAAGGTTAAATAATTATAAATACTTGGGATTTTAAAAATAAAGCGGCAAAGGCTTATTTGAAATACTAGCACAAATTATAGAATAATTCAAAGAGATTTTTACTTTTTACACAGAATTAACTTCTTTTCTTTAGTAGCATACCTTAAAAACTTGGCGGCCAGTATAGTGTATAAAGTTGATAATATAAATAAATCTTTTTTTTGTTTGTGTTTAAATAATATGCGAAGTTTGAAAACTGCGCAAAAGTTTTTGAAATGTAAAAAATTTAAGGAGAGGTTCAAAATATTGCTAAAGAATTAGCTGATGAGTATAAAGTGACAGCGGTGTGGCCATATTATATTGATTTCACTATAAGTTAAAAAAAAATTTAATGATCTGAATTTGACAACGTTTTAACAGACCTGCAGACGTTTTACATGAAATAAAGGAAAATATAGATTACGCGAAAAACTTCAAATTCGAGAGATGAGTTTTGATAGGCCTCAGTTAAAAAATTGGAGTAACGCTTTCAAAAAAAAAGTTGTGGCAAGTTAATACTGGTGTAAAACTCAAAAATTTATTAAATAATTTTATTTTCTTGCTGGTATATGCTAAACCCTCTGAAAATGTTTTAAATAAAGGTGTTGTCAATTATGTAAATTTGAACAAATCTTTATAGAATTAATATTATAATCGGTTTTCGATTATGAAAAGAAGTTGATTTGAAGGGGTACCAACGAGCCAAGCAACGTTACCGCATTCAATAGATATATATATATATATATATATATATATATGTTTTTATACACTAAAGTTTTTAATAATCCTTTCTGTAATAATTAGTAAAAATAAAAGAAAGTATATAGTTTTTATTAAAGCGATAACACGGAATACATAAAAAATTAATTAGTAAAATAGTTACCAAACATAAATTGTTTTTATTTAATTATTTGCTTATCGTTTTGACATACTACAGTCGTTTTATCTGCTGTAACTTAAACTGCTTTGTCGAAATCCCCTCATGAAGAAAGTTGAGGAGGGCGGTTTCGTCTACAAATCTAAGGCGTTTCGGGTCATCTCTCAGGTATATTTAGAAAAAAAAAAAGGAAATTTATAGTATTTTGGCGGTTACTTGCGATCATCAATTTTTTTAAGGGCCAATGACGTTCTTAGTTTTTTCTCCACAATCCTTTTATTTTGGGACTATTAATAGTATTTTGTTCTATTTAGTCTTTTTTTTGCCATCGCTAATTTTTTTTTGTTCTTCGGGAGTGCTAGTATCTTGCCGATTTTTTTTTTTCTGTGCGATATATTACACTGGTATTCTTTGAATTTTGTTTATAAAATATAATTTAAATAAAAGTAGATAAGTTGTTAAGCTTAAGAACGTACGGATAAATTAAAATTATCCACAGAATTTAATTGATATGGTCTATAGTGCCGCTCTCTATTTTATGCTCTATCACTTTTAATTACTATACATTAAAATAATTAAATTTTATGTTTTCTTCACAAAAATAAATATTAATGCATAGATAAATTTAGCTATATTACAAATATTTGATAGTCCAAACCGCTACTATAGAATTATACTATTTACGTAAACACCCTGTAATCTTTAGAAATAAAAATTTAATAAAGGCATTAAAAACGGAGTAAAATATAAACATCGCATGTTCTATAAGTATTATAAGTTTAACAAAACCCAAGGATTCAGGTGATATGAATATGTAGCTCGGGTAGTTGCAACCATAGCAAGTGTTATTAAATAACTTTGGTGGAAATATCGACTTTGCAACTAAAAAAATCTCTTTCAAAACTTATTATAAACTTGCTTTTTATTTTTTTTGTATGGTTGGAAAAAAAACATAAATATTGTCCATTTTAAAAGGGTCCTAAAAAAAGGTAATTAAAAATTTTAAACTAGTTTCACTTCTTTAAAGTGTAAAGTGCGTAGGAGGTTTAAAAAAAAAGGAGTTAAAAAAAAATTAATAAGAACCTACGACTTTATGCCCTATCTTTCAAAAATTAACAAATAGGTAAAAATTAAAATAAAAAAAAAAGTTTATTTAGCTTTAGAGACTACTAACGTTAGAGAAACTATAATATAATATTTGTAATATTTAATTTTTTTTTCTGGTTAGACCGCTTATAAATTTTGTCAGTAACTAGATATAACTTCAATAAATAATAAACGAAGGCTAAAAGTGGAAATACTTTTAGTAAGGCAAAATATATAAGTTTTTACAAAAATTTGTTTTGTATCCTTCCATAGTAAAAAAAAAAAAAAAAAAGTCAACCCAGCCGGTTTGCAAGGGCGCACCCAAAAGTATAGCGGTCACGAGGGTAGTTCCTACTTGGCTATTTTTTTTTTTTGGGTTATATATATACTTCATCTATTAAATATACTTTTAATACAACTTATAATTATTAGTAACTTTATAAGTTTTTTAATAATTACATAGTAACTTTTATAAGAATAATGGAAATTTCTAAGATCGACTGCAGTGCTAGTGTTCAGGTTTTTGACACAAACTATGTAATACTGTACTTTATCTACTTTAAATAATATTGAGCAGGTTAAAACGCTTTGTAAAGGATTTGCAGATAAAGCGCTTGATATTTTGCATAACAAACTTCCAGAGAAAGTTATTCACTTAGACAAACTTTATCAAGTCTCTCTATATATATGTTAGGCTCGTTTTATTTTTTTATAGTTTTTTACCTTTTATTCATTTTTTCCTTGGTTAACTATTTATTTGTTTATTAAGAGCATCGGGAGAGATAGTATTCCTGATGCAGTCGAAACAGAATTATTTTCTCTAAAAAGTTTAGAAAAAGTAAACCTTGGAATTTCAGGTTGATATTAAAAGTTTTTAAGTTTTAAAACGATACTATTCACTGTTTAGTTCTCTAAAATTATTACTTCTATAATTAAATACTTTTTTAAATGAGTAAACTTAACTTGAGAAAATATACAACTTTTCTTATTCCAACTATCACTTTACTTCCAAGAGTATTAATGTTTAAAATTTTTTTCTCAAGTTATAAAATATTGACTGCATATGCTAATTTATTATTTAAAAAAAAAAAAAATTACTTTTATTGAAGTTAAAGAATTTAGTTTGCGATCTTTAAACAACGAGCCTTTCGGTGGACTTTAGTTGGAATTTTTCTCGAAACATATAAAGAAAAACGTGTTAAATTTGTATAGTTTCTTATTATTATTATTTGCAGATAGAGTAGGACATAAAAACTTATAAAAATTGAACAAAATAATTATTCCCTATTTATATTTTAAAAAAATTTAGTTAATTATTTTATAGTAAAAAGGATATTGAACTTTTTCTATACTTTATCTTTTCTACATTTTATATAGTTTTATTTCTTTTTATCAGTGCTATTCATAACGTTGGTATCCCCTTATTAACGTATAAAAAATTATATCAATAGTATTTCAGAATTTATTTTTTGTGCGACTTAGATCGACTGTCACTTATTGGTCTTATTACCTTATAACTATATTAAGAGAATAATGAAGTTTTTGAAACAACGTTAAAGAAACGTAAACTTGTTGAAGCTGAAGTTACCAAAGTTTCAAGCAATTTAGTTAATATACTTTTATTGTCCATTTATATATTTTTTTATTTATTATTTTTTTTTCATTTTTTTTTATTATTTGTACAAATTTTAATATTTATATTATATTTATTATATTTCTTTTCTATAGTTTTAATATTTTATTTATAATTTTACTTTTAAATATTTTAATTATTTATTTTACTATTAGAAATATAATATATATTACCATAATGTCATACTTTTACTATAAAATTTTATTTTATGGGAAACATTATTAACTATAATTTTATTATTATTATTTTTTTAATTAATTTTGAAAGTTTTTACTTTTAACCTTTAAGTTATTTTTATTATATACTATTATTTAGTGTTAAGAAAAGAAAAAATAAATAATTACAAATTATTGATTTTATATTTTTTTCTCTGTTAATTTATTATTATAATAGAAAGCAATTAAATATTATAAAGTTTTCACATTCTGCTCTTTTAAGTTTTTTACATATATATATACTTATTATGAAAAGTTATCAATCAGTATAATTTTTTATATTTTTATTTTTTTATTGTATTAACTTTTAAGTACTTCATTTATTAATTTTCGATTCTATATAATAAAAATATATTGAAAAAAATATATATTTGTTTAATTAATTGTCATAAAAACTTTTTAACTATAAATTTTTGATTATTGTAAAAAGATATTAATTAATATTAAATTTTTTTTCCTATATTCAAAAGATTTTACTTTTTACTTTTAAGTTTTTTTTATATATTTACTTGATTATATATATTTAAGTAGAAATAAAAGTTATTAAACAACTTTATCTGTAATTTTTATAGGTTTAATCTATTTTCTTATAAAAAAAGTTGTTAAGAAATATTTTAAATACATACTTTTTACTTTTAATTTGTTATTTATAATTTAATATTTATTTTTTAAGAAAAAATAGAAAGTTACGTGATATTACTATTATATATATATAAAGTTATCAATTAATAATTTTTTTTATTATACTCCAAAAATTTTTACTTTTTTTTTTTTTTCATTTTTAAAATTTTTATTTTAATATAAAACTTTATATATTATTTTTAAAAAATAGAAGCTGTCAAATTATAAATAATATTTTTTCATTCTCTATAAATTATTTATGGTAACCAGCTATTACACATAATTTTTTAATAGTTTTCATCTGTTATAAAAGTTATTACTTAATATATTTTCCATTTTTAATAACGTTGCAATTAGAATTTTTGACTAGCAGTCTTCTTATGTACTTTTTTTTGTTTATAATTTTTATTATAAAAAGTTAAATAATATTTTTTTTAATATTATCTATTTTTAGTGGGATAATTTTTACTTTTTATACCTTTAATAGAGGTTTTTTTATTTATTTAAAGAAAAATAGGTTTTATTAAAGTTATATTTATATATAAACTGGTTTAATATAACTTCTTTTACTATAAATTTTTATTATTGTAAAAAGTTTTTACTTTTTACTTATGAGTTATATATATGTATCATATATTTATTTTGTAATTAGTAGTGTTCAAAAAAACATATTCTTAAATATTCTTTACTATAAAATTTTTTTTATTTCATCCTAGAAAAGTTGCTAAAAGAATAATGTTTTGGAAGTTTTTACTTTTATACTTTAAAATTCTTATATATTTATTTATTAATTATAATATATATATTTTTATAGCGTATATTCGACTCCTGGAAATTTGTATATTATCTATTTGCACATTTTTTTTGACTTTGGAGTTATTTACCATTTGTTTAATTAGAATTTTAATATATATGGATAAAAAATTATTTGGAGTTATTTACCATTTGTTTAATTAGAATTTTAATATATATGGATAAAAAATTATTTGGAGTTATTTACTCGCGTAAAAATTGTAAATTTTTATTATTTTATAATTTATATTATTATTATTATTATTATTATAATTACTGTATATATTTTTATAAATTTATATGTATTTTATAATTTTTTATAAAACTTTAAGAATTTATTAAACTGTATGAAAGTTAGGAATATATATTATTTTTCTATTTTACGTATTGATATATTGATGTTGTCATGTTTGTTTTACTTGTGAATTATATATATAGTATATACTTATTATGTAATTTTATAAACTTTAAAAATTTATTAACCGCTTAAGGGTTGGGTATCGTTGAATATTTTATAGTAAAACTTTTTTAGGAAAGCATTTATTTAAATATTTTTATAAAACTTCCAGTTTTGTATTACTATTTTTATATACACGTTAATAGTAACACTTTAATATATATTTTTATTTTTATTTATTTTTTGATGTACATCTTTATGAAACTTTAAAGTTTATGAAACCGCTTGAAAAAAAAAAAATTGCGTTATTAACTTTTTTTAATAGTAAAATTATCATCTATTCACATTTTTTTTACATATTATATTTTATATACTTTCTATAAAACTTTTTAAAATATATATATATATTGATTTGATTTTATGTTCTATATTTTTATAGAACTTTCCGTTTTATATTATTATATCTATAATATATTAATAGCCAAACATAATTTTTTTATAAAAATTTTTATAAAACTTTTAGAATCTATTAAACAACTTGAAAGTTGTGTATTATTATATGTTGTATAGTAAAATCACATATATACTTGATACAACTCTTAGAATTTATTAAACCGCCTGAAAGTGGTTAAGATGGAAATACTACAACTTATTGAGTACTGCAAAATTTTGAAAACGTGGATTCAGCTTCTAATTCCACGAATAGAAGATGGAAACAACTTCGGCGTCTCCATTCAAGTAACTTTCTTATTACTATTTTTTATAATTATTACTTATGTGGTATATATATTTTTTAATATTTATTTATAAATTATTTTACTTGTAAGCTTTCATATTTTTATTACTTTTTATATATAAATGATTTTTTATTATAATTTATTATTGTTTTAGTTATATATTTTCTATATATATTTTATTATTGACGAATTTTTTATTTTTTAATGCAATTATAATTATTTTTTTTTTATATTAATTTTTATTATTTTTTTCCTATTTTATATATTTCTTGTTATTTATGGATACATTGTAGCTTAAGTTTAATTAATGATAAAATTTTTATAAAATATATTTTTTTATTATTTTATATTTGTTAATTTCAATCTTTGTCTTTTATTATTTATTACTGATTTCTTATTATTTTCTACAATTTAATTCATAATATTTTTTTAATTATTATATTTTATTTATTTATTTTTTATTTCAATTTAGTTTTTATATACTTTTGAATCATATTATTTTTTATTTTTTTTATGTATGATAGTTTTTCATTATCATTTTATAAATCAATTATGATTATTTTAATTTTAATAATTACTTTTTATCTTTTATTTAAATATTATTGGTTTCTTCAATTTAGTAATTTATAATTATTAATATATTTTATTTATTACTTTTTATAATTATTTTGTATTTTTTATTTCTTCTGTTTTATTTATTTATTATTTATATTAATTTTTATTTTTAATTTTTTTTTTATTTTTTTATTTTCACCGTTATACGATGTTACTAACGATGTTATTAACTTGTGTTTATCCATTAAACTCGTTACCTTGCTAAAATGAAACAAGTAACGACCTTATTGCATATTTAATATAATTTGTAATATTAATTTAATATACTCTATTATATATTTTTATAATATAGTTTTTAATATAATTTATTATATATTTTTAAAATTATAAATCTAAATTATTTTATATATTTTTTATAATGTTAATTAGTGCTTCTACCTAAATTCAACTAAACTACTTTGATTTATCTGTGCCATTTATTATTTATTTCACTGTTTTCCTTTTTTTTTTTTTTTAATTTTTTTTTATATATTTTAATTTTAATTATTTTTTTATTTTATAAAAATATACCGAGAATGTAACGTTTAAGAAAATTTTATTATAGAATTAGAATAATATCGATATTTATATTTATTACTCTTAGTTACAAAGTAATAATTAATGCGAAGTTTCCAAAGTATTATTTAAAAAAAATTTATAATCTGTTAATAATTTTAATTTTACAAAAGTTTCCTTTTTATTTTTTATTTATAACAAAATTTTTTGTAAGGTATAAAAAGTTTATATATTTAAAATAACTTGTTTATTCCTTATATATAGTTATTATATAATAATATTATAAAGTTATTATGGAGTTATAAGACGTTGAAACTTATTATCCAAAAATTTTATTTTCCTTTTATTTTTATTATAATACCTTAAAAAAATATTACTATTTATATTTTTTTCTATAAAAGTTTCGTTATATATTTTTTAACTTTTATATATATAAAAAAAAAGCCTAAAAAGTAAAGTTTATAGGAATTATAGAAATATTATATAATTAAAGTAAAAATATGTACTCATATAAAAAATAACTTTTTATATATAGCTTTTATATGCAAAAAGAAAGTTGAGCAGTAAAGCTTATGAAGTTTTTATTTAATAATACAAAAATATGTGTTTTTATATTTGAAGAAAGTAGTGGAAGTTTTTAAAAGTTTTATATTTATAAGAAAGAATGTATAAAAAATTTTAAAAATATAATTAGTTTTCTATTAAGAAATATAAAAAAAATTTTTTAAAGAAAAAGCCTTGAAAGTTCTAAAAAAGTTTTATTTTTTATAAAAGTATTTCTTATACTTAACTATTAAAAAAAAGGTTTATAGTAAAAAGTATAAAAATAAAATACAAAAAAAAATTAACTTTTTATGTCTATATACTTTAAATATCGTTGTAAAAGTTATAAGGAACCTACTGAAAGCTATAAAAATTTTTATTTTTTGTGAGTTTTCAAGAAAAGTTATAGGAATTTAGAAAAAGATTTATCTGCGAACAATATATTTATTTAAATAAGTTGTTTTATATATAAAAAAGTTTAAAAAGTTTTTTTTATAAAAATTTTCATATACAACACATTTTAAAAATAAAGTAAAGTTTTTATATAAATAAAATAAAAGAGTCGATAGTATTGTATAAGAAAACTTATATATTTTTTTATAACAAAAACTTTTATGACTAAATAAAGAGTATAGGGGGAAAAAGGTGTATTAAAATTTATATTGAGTAAAGTTTCTTTTCATTAAAAGAAATAAACAAACTGATGAAAAAGTAAAGTTGTTTAATATAATTATATAGAAAACTTTTACATATTATAATAAAAACGATAGTTAAGGTATAGATCTTATATAAACATAAATTATTATAGAGAAAGATAAACTTTTATTACAATAATAGAAAACTGTAAACTTTTTAAAATATTTTAAAACTTTTATAAAAGGTTTGAACGCTTATATTTTTGAAGATTTTTTTAGATTTATTCATACAAGAAACTTCAAGTTTTTTTAATTTGTTAAAAGTTAAAATATTAAAAACAATATAAAAAAAATTTATAGACCAAATTAAAGAATATAATAAAAACATACTTTTGGTTACGGGAATATAAAGTATTATTAAACTTAATAATAAAAGGTTGTACTTTTAGAGCTCTTCTTTTATTAAAAGGAGAAACTTTTATTATAGTTTTTATATTTTTACTAAGTAAAATTTTATTTTAAAACGAAACAGTAAATAAATATTATAACAACTAGAAGCTTCGAAACTTTATTTAAACTTGTATGATCTTAATATAAGTTTTTAAAAATAATAGAAAAGTTTACTTTGGGAACATGAAATCCTTTTAACTATAGTAAAAGTTCATTTAAAAACTTTTATATACGTATTTAAAATAAGAAATAAATAAAATATACGAAATTTATGAAACAAAATGATGAAAATTTTTTTAATTAAAAAATAAATTTTAAGAAAAAATAAAAATACAATATGAACAATGAAGAATAAGAGAAATAATAAACTAGTATATAACGCTCTTTATATGCTCATATTAATTTTGTTATATGATTTTTAATAGACAGGTTTTAGTGTTTTTGTATTATAAAAAATAATAAAAGTTTATAAAGAAAAAAAATTTTAGGAGTATATTATAAAACCCATACAAAACTATTATTATTAACTTTTATTATTGGGTTGAAAGAAGAGTTATACAAATATGCATATATATTTTATTTTTATTTAACTAATATTAAAAAGTAATAAATAGTAATATTTTTAAACTATAGTAAACTATTAATTATAAAAAGTTATTATGTATTTCTGTTATTTCTTTTTTCTTACTTGGGTTCATACTATTATTATCCTTATACCAAATACTTTAGTATGCTTTCAATTTTTAAACATAACAGTTATTATAAACCTTTTTACTAATAAATTAATAAATATATATAATATATAATTAAAAAGTAAAGCGTTTTATATAACTTAAGTTTTTTTTTCGAGTGCTGTATTGTATAAAGTATTGCATTCTGTCAGAAATAAACAGTAAAACCTTTGAGTCATAGAAAAGTTAAAAAAAATTCTTTTATATCTATTAAATACCGCAAAGGAAGACACTATCAATGAAATTTCACGTGTAGAGGGGAGCGGATTTTCGGCGCTGGAAAGTATTGCTAACTACCTCGTGACACGAGGAAAGTTGGTTTCAAAGGTAATAATCATGATAATAAACAAGAACAGTTTATATATATATATTATTAATATATAATAATAATAGTTTTCAATACTTTTTCTACAAGCAAAAGTATACAATGGTCTTTTTTATCAATAGTAGGTTAGGATTAATAACGTGTGTTCGGAATTATCCGGGGGGGGGATACTATGAAAGCCATGTGCTCAATTTATTTTAGAACATTTAAAGTTTAGTAAGAGCTTAGGACCTTACAGAAATTTTTCTTTGTAAAAGAACCATGTGCTTAGCTATTCCAGAACCTTTTTGTAATTTTCTAAAAGACTATTAAGCATAATTAGGAAAATACAAAGCACGTGGCTTCCAGGATAATTTATTTCAAGTAGAAATACCATTTACGTGATGGATGCATTATTCGTTAACATTTTTGTTTAAAGAAATCCTTTTTAGTTGAAGGGGTTTTTCATTAACTGATGCATAATAGCTAAAAACTTGGAGTCTTCCAGGATATGTTTTTTTCTTGTATTGTAATATTCATCGTAACAATATCATATTAAAACTGCTTATTAAACGTTTTTGCTTACATTTATATTGCTCTTTAAATGAATTTTATAAGATGGCAATTTTACGCATCCTCATAGTGTTACTAATATAAGATAACAATAGATGGATATAGACTGGATAGGAAGTTTCGCAGTGTAAAGCTATAGCGTTTAGCATGTGAATATTTTTACTTTCACATTTTGACTTTGTTTAATTTTTTATCTATACTTTATAACTTTTATTCTGGGGGGTAAATAATAACTTTTAATACTTTCGCAGATACTAAAGTATCCACAAATTCAGGACTACCAATTAAGCATTTCTGAATTAGATGAAAAAGAATATATAGATATGTTATTTTATTGTGTAGATTTGCGGGATATATATACTACTCTACACGATATGATCATTAAAAATATTGAAAAGATCAAAAAACCGCGAAGCAGCAACAGCAACACTTCAATGTACTGAAGCTCCTTCCTTTAATTATAAAAATATATATTATATTATATAAGTATTAGAGCATTGATAATAAAGTTAAGTTAAATTTGTCGCTATCTTGTGGTGTTTATCAGGAATGTAACTTTAGTTGTAAAGTGAAAAAGAATCTTTTTTTTTAAAAATATAAATGTATCTACATAATAAACATAATAATTTACTGTTGACGTAAAATAATATATATATTATATTACCAGTTAATGTGTAATATAAATGAGTAAAACAAATAAAATTTTGGGTATAAAAGAGTTACTTTTTACGCTTATGTTGTAATATTTATGATGAGAGTTTACTTACAATTTAAAAATATAACTTTTTATGTGAAAATACAAACACATAGTGAACATATAACTAACGTATAAAATGAATAAATATTTGCTAAAAATGAAATATAATTTAACAAAGCCATATTAATAAGATTATGGGTATCTAGAAGTTACTTATTACGCTTGTGTTGGTGTTCACTATAAAAAAAACTATTTTTAAGAGGAAATATAATTTGTGTAAATTTATTATCTACAAAATAGATTTATAGTTCACGTTAATAAATAAATAAATAAGTATAATAGAAATTAAAAATGTTACATGTAAAACAGCTTGTATAGAGTTTATTGAAAAAAAGGCATGGACGGTATTATAAAGTTACTTGTAACTCTTATATTGTTATATATACATATTAACTTATAAATAACGTTGAAATATACAATTCTAACAATAAATAGAATTAATATAAAACCGAGATGATAAAAGATATAAATAAGTTCATAGATTATATTTTGATATCATAACGCTTATTTTGGAGTGTTGTGATGTAACCGTAATAGTTAATACTTAAAAAGGTTAATTGTACAGATGACTTGAACTACTTGCGTACTTATTTCCAAGCTTTTATGTTTTTATGAAGAAATAAGATTATGATCTTTAATAGCTGGATGACACACCAAGAAAATAATCGATAATTACTTAGTAAAATTTTTATTTAGGATAACGTTACTTAATATAACGTATTAATATTTGGAGAAATGCAAAAATCTCTGCATATTGTTATATTATGGTACCACTTTTAATAACTTTTTTTTTAATGATTTTTTTTTTGCTCCAGAACATCGTTTAAAGATGAGTTAGTGTTTTAAGATACAAAGTAAACCTTTTAGGAGCCGTCCTTATAATAAAGAAATTTCCTTAAGTTCTTCTTTTTTTTTTTAATTAAAAAAAAAATTGAAGTTTATATTTAATATTTTGTTATTCCTCTATAATATTTAGTTTTGTTACTTTTTTTTCAAAGTTAAATATATTCTTAAGGGCAGATTACTTAGTTATATTTACCTTTAGCTTTTTAATATTTAAATGAGCAACTGATCTTGCAATTTAATACCTTTTCTTAAAAAGACTAGGCTGGTGCAGTACTTCAATATGTTTAATATCATTTATGGCAAGTATTGTTAGGAAACAACCAAAATTCATTATAAATAATGTAAGGGGCTTTTTTTACTTTTGGTACTTTTTGTTTAAACTTTAATTAAACAGGCCAAAAAAAAATACTTGGGCCCATAAATTAGGATTGAGTAATAATATAAAAAGTAAAATTAAAAATATAAATGTTTTTTTTTATTATATATAATTATTAAAAAAGTTTTTGCGTTTTGCTAAGGTTCGATATGTATTATTGACGTGGTCATCCATTTTTGGAATTGACCCAAAAGCTAACACGTTCTTTTACGGTTTCTACTTTAATGTAAAATCCATTATCATACTTGTAAATTTATTACTTTCAAAGAGTTTTAAAGGTTTTCCTTTAAACTAAAAACATTTGTAACTTTCTTATTTTTATTTTAACAATCTTTTAATGATAATGTTTAGTTAGTACTGGAGTACTGGAAAGTCTTGATATATCGCTTAACTGTTTATTCTTTAAAATGAAACTAAAGACTTTTTACCTCTAATAACGCACATTTTTCTTATCATTACCTTTTTAATTCCTCTGAAATGTGTAAGAGGAAACAGATACGAACACTAAATTTTTTAAACACTACACTAAAAACTTGCTATTTAGCTTAACATACTAAATATACATAAGAAAATGATAACAGTTACAAGATCACCCAATTAAAGACATTAGTTTATATTTGCATAAATGCGGTAGGACATTAGATAAAAATAAATTGTACCTCCAACTTAAAGAGCAATAATAGGTTTAAATGAATTATATTAGGTCATAGGTACTAATTAAGCTTCTGTGAATTACTTTAATTAGTTTATAAAACTTACAGGTCCATACTTTTTATTAGATTAATACTTTAGAAAAAGTTAAAATAAATCATAATTTAACAATAAATCACAAAACCCAATCATTAATAAGCTTTGAACGTTATCTATATTTTTTTAAAAAATTTGTCTTATTTGAGGATTTCATATATGTAGCATTTCATTAATAAGGGAAACTTTTTGTACTTACTTTTAAACTTCTTCTCCTTTTATTCTTTTATTTTACTTCTTTCACTGCATTTTATAGATGTTTGTCTCTTTTCCTTGCGGTATACCCTCCTATATACCCACGCTAAGGGGCCGTGTTGCAGGCTGCCGTTTTGTCAATCGAGGCAGAATTGCGAGCTTGATTTAAACTTAGATATACACTTGAATGAAGATTTATTCATCCTCATTATAAAATATATTATTAACAATATAACTCTTTATCTTTATTTTCATGAATATAATATCAAAGCCAAGTGTTTTTTTAAAAAAATGGATTTTAAATAAATTTATGTGTTTGGCGCGCTTAATTAATCTCACTTATGCTTTAAGTATCGTTTTACTAGCAAGCTTCAGTTTTTTAGTTTTAGCAATTATTCTTCTATTTATAAGGCCTTTGAAATATGTAAACCACTTCTGGTTTATTAAAGCGAAAGTTCAATTAGTAAGAATGGGCAAGTTTTTTATAAAAATATTTTTTACGTATTTAATGAGGCTTTTATTACTACTAAATGGGTGAATATATATAACTTTTTGTTAACAAAATCTTTTTTTTTTTTTTAATTATGAAAAAAACCCTTTTAGGATGGAGCCCGTTGGTTCTTGCCATGAAACTTGCTAGAATTAAGTTATACCTATAGAGAAAGAATGTCTCTGACTTTCTTCCTACAAATAAATTTTTACAATAGATTAGTAGTTTCCGGAAGCTTTGAGCCAGAACTTTCACATTTTACTAAGAAGGATGCACTTTTATCTTCCTATGATACTAACCTTTTGGATGATAATAAAGTACATGCCAAAGTAAAAATTGCTTGTCTACGCTGTTATTGCTACTAAGTTGTAATAGATAACTTATTTTATTTACTTTTTATGTTGATTTAAAAAAAAATTAATAATTAATTTTTTTCTTAGTTTAGGTTAGGCCCCTAATATTTTGTTATTAATATTATCAATACTATTAGATCTCTATCGTAATTTCTAATCATCAAGCTTATGTTGATTCTTTTTTCATCGGACTTTTGCTTCATTGCGAAAATAGCGCAGGTTTCTTTAAAATTATAACTTAATTCTTTTTTTTGGTAAGTATATATACACTACAAAATTTATTAAATAGTAATTGGTCAACAATTAGTTTATAGCCTAATTTATTATTATTTAGAACTTATTAAAAGTTTTGTTATATATTTTTTTTTAATTTATAAAAACTATGAAAAGAATAATTATATTTTTTTGAAAATTATTTTACGTTATTAAAATAGTTTACATATATTTTTAGTTTTTATTTCTCCTTTACAGAATAACAAAATAATCAAAATTTTAAAAAAACATATTTTATGCTTCAAAAAAAAATATTTTGTTTAAATTATATAGTAATCGTGTTTCGACTTTTTTTATAAATTAATAATTTTCAAAGTATAAATCTGCGTAGTTTATTATATAAATATATACAATTATACTTTTCTTTAAAGAATTGCGCATAATATATATTATATATTTATTATACTATTCTACTACTTATAAGTTGCTCATTATTTATTTTTTATAGAAATAAATTTCTTTTTCTTTGTCTACTAATATCGCTACTACTATTGTTATTATAAAAACTTTTTAGACGGGAGTATGCTTTGGGCCATATGGAAAATGTTTTTATTTACGCCGCTTGGATGGGCCGCTTACATGGCGGATAACATTTTTCTAGGTTTTTATTATTATAATTTTGCTCCCTTTATTACTATTGTTATTATTTATATTATCTTTATTTATTTATATATATTCATACTTTATATTATATTATTACCTTATTTATTCTTTTATTTTTTATTAATATTATATTTTTACTTAAGTTATTACTTTATTTCTTCCTTTTTTATATTTAAAATGGTGAATTTTTTATTTATATTAATATTTTATTTCTTGTTAACATTTATTATAATAATGTATATACTATTTATGTTTATTACTTTCTATTTTTTGTTTTATATTAATGTTGTACAGTATTTTATTTATATTAACACTTTATATATTTTTTATATATTATTATGTTAATATGGTATATTTATTTATTATATTAATGCTTTATTTATTTTATTATATTCATATTACTATTGTATATATTTCTATTTATTTTTACAATATAATTTATTTTTATATATTAATATGGTATATTTTTATATTAATATTTTTTTAATTTTTTTATATTTAATATTCATATCATATATTTTTTATTTTTGATACTAATATTGTATATTATTATATGTTCCTAATATGTATATTGATATGGCATATTAATTTAGTTATTCTTTTATTTCTTATATTAACATTGTATATTATATTATTTATTCTTTTATTTTATATATTTATATATTTAAATATTATATTATTTATATTAAAATTCTATATTTTTTTAATGTATTACTTTATTTTTTTTTTTATTTTATTTTATATAAATATATTGTATATCTTTTTTTTGGGTCTTAAGCAAGAAAATTAGAATTTTTTCTATAAGCATTTATATCAGAAGTCTTTTATATTTTTATTTTTTTCTAAACAATATATATTTTTATATATTTTTCCATGTTTATTTTTTTTTACTAATCAATAAGAATTTATAAAGGCTACGGAAAGATAAAAGACAGCAGAATTTTAAAAAATAATTTGTCTCGCTTTACTTTTAACGGATTCAAAACTTTTTGTTTCTACCCGGAAGGGGGACTGTTGCATCCAAAACTGCAGCAAAAATGTTATTAGCTGCCAATCAAATTTTATCTCTTATAAATTGTATCAGATTATTGCTTCGTGAGTCATTTGTACTTTTTATAATTATTATTATATGCAAATTTTTTACTTTATTATTTATACTATTTTAAAGCATTTCTAATTTTATTAATGTTTTTAAAAGTTTTATGCGAAAACTTTTTTTTTCTTTAATATTTATACTATTGTATAGCATTTACTATTTACAATATTCTTTTCTTTACTATAAAATTTTATATTATTATAATTATTATTACACATTAACTTTTTTACAATTATTATAATTAATTTAAACCTTTTTTTTTACTTTATTATTTATACTATTTTCGAGCATTTACTATTTATTTTTATTCTTTTTATCGTATATAAAACTTTTTATATTATTATAATTATTTCCTATCAGCTTTTTATTATTATTATAATTATATAAAAATTTTTATTTTTACTTTATTTTAAAGCATTTTCTAATATTTGTAAATATTTTTCTTAAAAAGTTTATTTATTTAATTTAACTTTCTATAATTATTATAATTATATAAAAAAAATTTTTACTTCATTAAATTTTTTTAAGCATTTACAATTTAGTATGAACTTTTTATTTTAAAACTTTTCATATTATAATAATTATTATTTATAAACTTCATATAATTAATTTATACTTTTTTTCGAAGCAATTATAAATATTTTAATAAAATTTTATTGGTGTGTTTAATAGTTTTTTTAAATAATTTTTTTTGTTTATGTTTTACTATTTTTTTTATATTTTTAAACCTCAAAAACTTTTACTTATTTAATAAACTTTTGGTCTATAATAAATCATGATTATATAATCGTATTTTTTTAACAACTTTTTCTGTAGCTTCTTAAAGTTAAACAAAAAGTTTCATATATAAAAACTAATTTTATGTATACACTTTTAAAAGAAACTTTTATTAATAGCGGAAATTTAGAGTTTTTAATAAATAAATTTTTAAACAAAATTTTTTAGCTCGTTTATCCAATAAGCGTTGAGCGAGTGGGTAAGTAATCTTATTAAAACTCAGAATTTTTTTTAATGAAGGCAATGCTAACGGTGTAAAAATTAATAATGACTACTTTAATAATAAAATGTTCTTTTTTTACGTTCATTATTTTTTTTATTATTTTAAGTTATTGCGTAAGCGTTAATGAGTTTCATTGTAAATTATAAAAATATACTGAACTTTTTTGCTACTTTCCAGCGGTTGCTTATGCAAAAAAATTAAATTATCCAGTCTATAAATACGTGATGCTTCCGCGTGTGGGAGCCTTTATTGCGGCTGTTCAGCGCTTAAAGGAACAAGGCGAGTGCCTATATACTTTATATATTTATAAATAATGAATAGTAATAAAAAATATTTTTATCATATTGCGATTTTTTTTAAAATAATTTTTATTGATTAAATTTATTTATTTTTTAATAAGAATAATATTTCAATATACATGTATAATATATACAACTACATTTCTGCTCCTTTTATTTTTTTTTACCATAAACAATTCTTATAGGCTGTCAAAATATAAAGGATGTAACCATTGGTTATTCCAGGTTAAATACATATATTAAACTTTTACTAACTAATTAATATATTTAATAGGAGCACTCCTTGGGGAAAAAAGCAAATCTATAATCTTCTTGATGCTTTACTTATACACGCTTTTCCTCTTCGAGTGCATATGCATCTTCGACAATTTGATATAAGCTCTGTTGGTAATAATTATTTTTATAAATAAATAAATAATATTTAATATTAATATTTAAATTATAATAGTTTACAAATAAATAGTAATTTTTTTTATAGGCGAAACCGAAGAAGAAATGAAGTTTTGGTTGTTCAAAAGATTTAAAGAAAAGGATTGCTTGCTTTATCATTTTGATATCCACCAATCATTTTCTTCACCAGACCTTTCGCCCCCCATGGAAATTTCTCCGTCCGCCAAACTGTTATTATTATTATCAATTTTATATATTAACTTTAAACAAAACTTTTTATAATATACAAAAAAGCGCACTATAGCGAAACGTTTATAATCGTTAACAGCATTATTATTTTTAATTTTTTTTTATAACTTATAAAAAAACAACCTTTAAAGTCATTTTCTTAAAAAATTCATTATTTTCTTTAGTCAAACAATTTAATATTTTATTTTAGTTTTTTTTATTTTTTAAACAATTTTTATTATATATAACAATTGAAACAATTCATTACTTTGGTGGAGGTTCCTAGCAAGCATGTTTTTAGTGAGCTTTATACTTACAATTCCCCGCTTCTTTTTTTGTTATCATTATTTTTATCTGCTTCCCATATTTCGTATTTTTATTTTATAATTTTTTAAATTTTTTTTTTTCAGTTTAATAGTAACAAGTAAATTGCTTTCTTATAGTAAAACTTTAATTCTTATTATTATTTTATGAATTAAATTAATTGTATAAAGTTTTTAAAGCAGTTAACCAAAATTTATCAAATACAAAGAAATATTATAATCTTATAAAAAAATTTTCATTTCGGATTAAAATTTTCTTTTTTTTCGTAAAATTCAAGTCAGTACGCTTTATTAAAAAAAAACTTTATCAAAGAAAATATATTTTTTATAGTTATAACTGTTTGTACATTTACTTTTATTTATTTTAAATTAAATATCTTTTTTAGAACAAAGATCAAATTTGCAAAGAAAATAATAAAATTCTTTTTTAAAAAAACTTATATTTTTTTTAAAACTTTTTATATATTTTCGCTTTTCTTATATTTATACTTAAAAAATTTTTAGCTAAAATAAATTATTTTTTTTTTGCTAATCACAATTTTTATAGAGCCTTTAAGAATTTTTGTGTACTTTTTTTGTGATTGAAAAGTTTATAATATAGGTTTTCATATTTTTAAGTGAAAAGTATGAAAAGTTTTTTACACGAATTATAATTTTTTTGTAGTATAATTATTTTTGTTTATTGTTTAAAAATTTAATTGTAGAATATTTTTTTTACTTTTTTTTTTTTCCAAAGTATAAGTTTATAAACTTTCTTTATTACTTATTGAAAACTTTAAAACTAAAAATTTTTTAATTAAGTCCATTTTATAAACATTCACCTATTTTTATTTTAAAAACTTTTATATATAAAACTATTTACTCTAATTTAATGAGTTTTTTTTACTTTCTGCTATTATTTTTATTTTAGAGTTATAAAGGATTTATTATTCTGGATGGTTATGCAATTACTTCTTTTTGGATTTTTGATTAAAATTTATTTCATAAGCGATGATTATTTATAAATTAGAATTTCTTCACTTTTTTTATAACAATTAGTAAATTTTACTTTATTATTAATTTTAAAAGCAAATCAATAAAAAAAATAAAATTTTTTTATTATCTAATTTTTTCGGCTTGCCGTTGATTATTTTTTTGTAAGCAAAGTTTTATAGGAGTAGAGTTTCTCACTTTCTATTCTTTATAAAAAAAAATTTATTATACACCAGTAGAGGGCTAAAAAAACGTTATAACGATTATTATTGACTGTTTCCTATTAAATAGCGGAGCTTTATATAAAAAAATTATTATTATTATTATTTCTATATTTAAGGAAAGTTTCGATAAATATAGAACGAAATGAAAATTTATTAAAGTTAAAAAAAAACGGAAAGCAAAATGGGCGGCCATCCTCATTTTTTACGTAAATTAGTAAAAAGAGCATCAATACCGGCATTACCGACATCCCGCTTACAATATTAATTAATTATAATTTATTTAATTTTTATAATTTAATAGAAGATAAGATGTAAGCTTTAGTTAATATAGAAATAACATTTCATAAACTTTTAAAAAATAAAATAAATTGAAAAATTATAATAATTATATTACACTATAAATAGATTAATTGAAAAAAAATTATAAGATTGTAGTATTTCCATAATAAATTGCATAAAGAGTTTAAAAATTACACTATTATAGTCACATATTCAGATGGTTTATCCAAAGATTTACTAATTGGAGGCTCTTTATAAAATGCTTGGACGACAGTTTACCGCTTTGTGGCTATTCTTTTTCAAGATAATCAAATAAATTCGGCAATAACACAACTTGAGGTAGCCATAGTTACCTAACGGTCAGTTCTTAGCACCGGGAAGCGCCTTCCAGCTTATAACATCTTTAAAGCGATATATTTGTTGAGGAAAGTATATAGCTGTACCTGCCAAGCGCTGCTATGCACTAAAAATGGGACGCAGATATTTTTATATTGATATGTGACTTTAAAATGACATCGTTATATACATCTGCTATTCCCGGGGGATATTAGCGAGACATCTGAAGCCGTCCTCCAATTATAAAACCACTATACCGTTTGTGAAAACGAATGAAAAGACTTTCTTTCTGCGGAAAAAAAAAACTGCTTATATAACCTATTCGCTTTTTCGTTAAATTGACAGTTAACTTTAATTAAACCTACCAGGAACAAGTAATTAACTTCACTTTTAAAACACCTTACAACCAAGTCTAGGTAGATTGCGAACATTAACACTCTTTTATTCAAGTCTTCGTTACAGAGGTTATTTTTGTTCTAAATTATAGCAGATAATGCTACTTATTTGAGAAATATTGCTTTATTAGTAGCTTGTGATGCCTAAATGAACTGCCAGAATTTAATAGCGGACCACCGAGACAAAAGTATGATGTGTCGTGCATCTCCTTATGAAAAATACAACTAATTAGCATTAAATAGTTGTTGGCCGTTGGATACAAGTTGTAATAATGCGATATATTATGTGCAAAAAATAATTGTGATTTCTGTGTTCACATCCTACTTACTAGTTGCGAAGTTCAGGGACTAGTACTACTGATCAATGTTCCCCGCATGCCGCCGGTAGCGTCCAACTGCTTCCTCTGCTTGTTTTCAATCAGAAGCAGATCAGAAAACCCCTCTTTACACAAAAAAGTTGTCGAAAAACAAGACAAGATGCAGTAAAGCGTTATCTCGAAGCCTATTATTTGAGATTGCTTTCTTGCAACAGAATTTCGAGGTTAATGCCTGATTCAATCGTATCCTTGCAGTTGCTTTCATTTTTCAATTTCATTAAATAGCTCTTCTACGTTGACACTGAATAAGTTTCAAATTAATTTTAACAGCTTCCTTCCCGGCATTGTTGCATTCCAAAAGTGCCTTGTAAAAATTCTTTTCAAGTTCCTGGAGGTGATGTAGAACAATTTGTTGAACTTGGTGGTGATATAAAGTAATTTTTGTCGTCAATAAAAGTTTTGAGCGTCGAAAACGCCAAATAATTTGTTGCTTCAATTTTTCCCACCCACATAAGAGTTTGCAAACATACGCGCAAAGTCTGTTTTCGCAACCCCCTCTTTCCGTATTGCATGAGCCTTGGGGTTGCAAATTAAGTTTGTTTAAATGGCTAAAAATGCCCACCAGATAGGCAAACCGTAACTGGAATTTGAGATCACAAAACTGCTTTAACAAACCAATCATTACTTTCTCAATCCTCCACAACTCATATATCTTTTCTCACGACAGGCAACGATCCTCCTAATGGCACAATTTTTTGTTAACCGCACTGTTTTTCACTCCCCCAGTGTTAGGGCCAGTTTCATGGTGTTCGCTAACACATTCGGCAACATTTTTGATGCTAGCGCTTCGCAGTGAATTATACAATGGGTTACTGTTTGCAATTTCTTTTTGTTCACCATTGCTAAACCAGCGTGATCCTAGCATAGCGGGAGCTCCTCCCGTACAGAAGCCAGCTACCTTTTCTCACATAATATAATTCTTTTCAAGAAATTATTATGCTCATTACATACGTTCCTTTTGAGGTAGTTTGAAGTTCTATTATTATTAATAGTTCCTCTTTGATTGTGGTTTTTTTAATTTTACAATTAATTGCGTAATTTGGAAGATGCAAACAGTTCACCTTGAGATGACGCAAATCTTGGGCCATTTGTTCCAACCTTCTTTCCTTTGAGGGAGAAAAATTCTGGCGGTCGAGCAATTAAATTAGAATGGATGCTTTTTAAACCACCTTCCAACTTTGCGGATTTTTAATTCATCGTTGCTGAGAACGGTGGCACATATCACATACGAGGTCGCGTTTCCAATTGACTTCAATTGCGGTGAATTTAAACTTAACACCATCGTTATCATAAATTCTCTTCTGTGGTGCCGTTTTTATAAAACAAAACTGTTAACAAATGGAAACATAACATTAAAGTACACCCACTTCAAGTCTCAGACCTCTCACTGGGCACGAGCTCCTCTTGGTGGTTAACATTTAATTGTTTTTAAGTTTTCTCTTGTACTTAAGCAGACGTTTAGAAGATGTGTGTATTTCCTGCCCAATGCTCGGCTCAAAGCTAATTTCAACCGCTTGCATATGAAGTTAGCAATATCGCCCAATTTTTGATTATTTTTGATAAACTGGGGGATCACCCCTTGGGAACCACTACTCAAAAGACTACAGAAAATCGCTTTAATTAAGAAAATAATTATTGATAATCATTTCGGCTACCAATAGCTTTTTAGGTTTTGTGCGATGACGAAAGCCTTTAATGATAAGAAGTCAACAGTTGCCAGAGCTCATGATACTAAAAGGTGTTTAAAAAGTTGTACAAGCTGATCCAGTGGAATATCCTCTTAAGTTGATGAAGCTTTTTCTAAATCGAAGGTATATAGTCAAAGTAGGCAGATAAAGTCACTTCCTTTTAGACAAACGACATCTATCCTACATGGATCTTTTATGTCGTCTATATGTTCACAATATATGTATCCGAGATAACTAAATTAAGGGCTGTTTTTATCGCTTAATAACGAGCTATTTTAACGCCGTAAAAACTTTTAGAAATCGGGGGGCCACTTTTTTGGGTCAAATTATTCCGAGGTACATTTATACCAAGTTGCTATGTTTCATCATAAACCATGTAGTTAAATGATAAGCTCGTGTATATTTTGTCATAAAAAGGACCATCGTTCTAAAGGAAGTTGTAATATCTTCTCTTTTGCTAAAGCAGGCTTTCACTACTTTACAACTTCTCCTCTATACAGCGACGACAGGTGTTGCTGTATGCGTAGCCTGGGCTTGTATTCCATTGGAAAACCTTAGAAAAATACAGCTTTTTAGGTTAGGTCCTTGTAGATGATCGGTAATGCCCTTTGGTTTTTTAGTAATAATTAGTTACATAGAGACTATCAACTGGAACTAATAGACATCCTTTTAATAACTCGCTCACAACAATTTCTAAATGCACACGGCAGAAAAACTAATATATGACTGGTTAAGGCGATATTACGACTTTTGAGTTGATATGCTAAATACAAGTAGCCAAAACGAGTAGTAGCGTGAAATAGCTATGCCCATCCGTTATAAACTGGGAGTCCAGAAAGTAGACCGTCTTACCGTTTTAAAAATATCTCCGCTACATTTCTTATGTTTTTCTTGGTGGTTAGAAAACCACCCGCCTTCAATAAGAAGGGAAGATAGATAAAGTAATGAAGAGTTTGTGAACTCATGTAGAATGCCATCTTTATATATACATTAATAAATAAAAGAAGGATAGCTCGTCGTGCCCGTTAATTCTGAAAAGGATAAACAGTAACATACTCTAAAGAGCTCAACTGAAGACAGGTTGCTCGTCCAAAAAATGTTGCTTTAGGCTAGAAATTAGGTGTGCGTTTGCAAAACAACTAAAGCTGTAGATTTTTAGAGGTAACAGATCGAACAATAACAATTTCGTATTAATTTGTAAATAACTTAAAAGATATAATAACAGATTCGCAAGTGCTTACCTCTAAATGACATACTTAGCTCATAATCTAGTGTGTGCGAAGAATTAAAGGGATATAGGCTGCTATACTTCCTGCTTAAAATTTCACAACTTCTTCTTGCCTCTGCTTAAAAAGTTATCAGCCCCTTTTTACTCAAGTCGACTTAGACACTTATTTTACATTATTTAAAAAGCGTGCGTTTATAGAGCAAAGGGGCAAAGAATACAATTTTCCATACAAAAACTTCTTAAGGCGGAACAGCCTGAATTACTCCCTTGAAAGAGCATTGAGTCTGTTTCAAGGAGCTAAGGAATGGTAAAGACACATCTGCCTGAACTCTCGCCATTAAATCAGAAAGATAAAATTGCGAGAAACCAGCCAGTCCAAGTACTAGACTCGAAGCACACTAAAGCCACCTGCCGGCATTGCTGCTATACCGGTCGCCTCAACTATAAGCTTTCCAGCTAAGGCATGAGGGCCTTAAAAAAGTTACTATATTAACGTGGTTATAGTATTGTAAATCCTAAAAGGTTAAGGTGCTCCAAATAGTTTAAACCCTTAGTATATCAAAATGTCTCGGAAGAATAGGTAGATATGAATACAAAGTTATTTTCTTGTTATGTGATACCCTAGAAGAGCGGGGGGAACATTTTATAGCACGGCACATTACCATATTTGTACAAATATAGGAAACCAACTATTAGAAAAAGGAGTTTTTTGTGTTTTTACGTAAGAATTTTTTGGCAAGCAGAATAATATTTTGGTAAGCTGCAAGTCTGACCCATCTTTGTCTTCTGGCGTGGCTGTCAAGTAGTTTAATATAAACTTGCTACCTTTTCTTATTACAAAATTATTGTTTTGAAAGCTATATTCTACTTGAGGGACTACGCCAATGGATGTTCTAATAAAGTAATGAACAAAAAAAATATAGGCTTTTCCTTAACAGTAACTACACAATAGTAGTTTCAATGGTTTGTTATAAAAAGGGTCGAGAATAACAGGAACTCTAAAAAGGGGAAGCCAGGTTCGACTGGCTTCTTTCTTCTTATGACGGGCAAGTTTGTTCGAAATCTTTAAGGTACTGGACTAGAAGAGCTTAAGGGTCCGAGGGTCGAACCTTTAATCTTCCTCCAGGATTTTTTAGGTCGCAGAATCCTTTTGGGCTTGACTCTTAGCCGAGTTCAGGGGTTCGGGTCTATGAAAACAATACCAAAAAGGAAGCACAAGAGAATGAGCAACGAGATGCAGGGACAAGACGTTTTTTTTAAACCAGCCAGTTTGGCTCTCTTTGTAATCTTTACCAAAAAAAATTTTATTTTCTTTTTGTCTATCGCACTATATAGCAAAGGTTATATTCATTTTATTGGTGTGGTGGGTATTACTTTTTGGCAAATAATTTAGAACCATGTTTAAATTGAAAGTGTGAACTTAAATTTCGTTATTTTGAATCTACTTTTGTATTCGTTTCATATTACAATCCAATCTATTCACCTTCCTTATCCTAAAAACTTTAAGTTCTTTTTCTGTGAAAAAATAGTCAAAAATAAAAGCAGTAGATTTTATTTTTTTATACGTCTTTATTGAAGCTTTTTAATAGACTATCATTTTCATTCATGGAAGTTTTACAGTATAATTGATGTTTCGATAAAAGCAAAACCTTTGTTGGATAAGGGTATTTAATGACATTTGTAATACACTTGATGTAATTGTCCAAAGCTTCTTGCTTTGAGAACAGCAGACCTGAAAAAATTATAATTAACTACACGTTTTAAACAGTCTTTTGCTAAAGTTACTTTAAACTTTCTGGGCTAGGTTTTCTTTAAAATCTTTGCTATAGATATTAAAGGACTCAATTATTATTGACATATGTTGGTCTAGGTTTAGTTACTGTAGAAAGATTATAAGAGAGCAACAAAGCAGTAGAAACGTAGTATTATAGACTTCTCTTTCTTAAAAGTAATACTACTCTATAAAGAACATTCTACTTCATTAAAATTAAGGCATAGTGTATTATATTAGCGAAAAAATAGATAATTAACAACAAATTGCTAATTTTCTATATATTTGGGATACCTAAAATATGTTTTTGTTTTTATCAGAAACCAGGAGATTTTGTTTAAATGTAGTCTCAGCTTATTAAAAATAAACGGCCTTTTTATTAATTCTGAAACTCTAGGAGAGCTTGTATTATACATATTAGAGTTTGTGTGAAATTTTATAAATGGACTTTATTATACGCGTTTCTAACGATTGAAAAGTCTAAATGAAGCATATTTATTAAATAATGTTCATTTCCAACATTACTCTAACCCCTACAAATTGCTCTTACTTTGTTTAGCTCTAATTCATTTAACTCATCCTTTTAAAATCTTAAAAAAAGTTACAAAGGGAAGTTCTATTTAAAAAAATATCAAGTTTCAAGTTGTTTAAAAAAAATTATTTTAGTTTTAAATTAATATGTTCGTTACAGATATATTACTATTCTTAAATCACTATTTTTTTTTTTTTTTACAAAATTAAGCAAAACTTGTATAAAATACATAGCTGCCCTTTTTATTAAGACTGTTATTAAATCCATATTTAGACCAAAGTTCTAACCATTCACTTTAAGTTTTTAAGTCAGGGCCTATTTATAGAAAAGTTTACCGCAACGCCAATTTAACGGGTTTAGCCTTGCAATGTCCTTTAAGGGGTAAAGCTTGATTGCGAGGAACTCTTGTTTGAATAGCTCTTCCGGATCAAAATTGTGTAGTCTGTTAAAACTAACGAAAAATTGTATTATAATTATTTTAATCCATATCTCTTCACTGGTAAAGGCTTTAATAATTTTTTGAAAACTCCTGAAGGCTATCCATCATGCACGGCAAAAGTTATGATTACTTGTTTAAATTATTACTCATTGGCGATAGCGGAGTCGGAAAAACTTCAATACTCTTTCGTTTTTCGGATGATAGCTTCTCACCTACTTTTATCTCCACCATCGGTTTAAATATTTTATTAAAACGATGCTCTTATTTAGTAATTCCCCTCTAAAGCCCGTTAATATTTTTGTTTCCATATTAAATTCTTTTGCTTAAGGAATTGACTTTAAAATTCGTACTATTCAATTGGATGATAAAAATATAAAGTTGCAAATCTGGGATACTGCTGGCCAAGAACGCTTTAGTAATCCTGACCATCAAATAATTAATTTTAAAATTATTTCTTTTAAAGATTAAATCTTTTCTAAGAAATTATTTTTAACCTTTTTAAAAACTTTTTTTCTTCTTAGGGACAATAACAACAGCCTATTATAGAGGAGCAATGGGCATTTTGCTAGTTTATGGTTATTTTACTGAGTTTTTTGAGATTTTTATTAATTAATTAAAGTTTACTTAAGAATATTGCTAAAACTTTAAAAATCTTTTTAAATTTATAATTTAATTATTTAGATGGTTTTTATTGTTTTAAATTTATAATTTATATAAATATTAATTGCATTAAATTTTTTTAAATAATTTATTTTTTAATTGTTTAGATGGTTTTATAATTTTAATTTACCATTGTAACCATTAATTGCACTGTTTTACTATTTTTTATTGTTAATAACAATAATAATAATTATAATTATAATACTTACAACTATGATAAAGATGTCACTTCGCGAGGTTCATTCGAGAACATAACGCAGTGGCTGAGCAATATAAAAAGCCATGCAAGCGAGAACGTCGAGAAAATCATTTTGGCTAATAAATGTGATGTGGAAGAAAGAGAAGTTTCCGAAGAAGAAGGTAAATTTATTTTTTTAATTTTTTTTATTTTGGATTAATTATTATAAAAAGTGAAACTTTTTTAAAAAGAACATCGTTTTTAATTTTATGAATTGTAAATTATTTCAGATTTATAATTTACTATTCATTAATTTCACTGCTCTTTAAAAGAAAAATAACAAAGCCACAATATTTAACTATAAATTTCATTTTTGATAATAATTTTAATTTTACCAGATTTACTTTCATTCGCTCTTTTAAACGTTAGAAATTAATTAATTTTTTCTATTTACAATCAACTTAATTTAGATGACTAATATTTTACTAACATATTTAAGACAAAACATAAATTCAAGCTTTATTAGAATTTGTTAAGTAAAGTTTTTTACAGGATAAGGAAAGTTATAAGCACCGTTACTATTTTATAGCAGACTTTGTTCGAAAATTACAAGTAAATTTCAGCGCTTTTCTTTATTATGGATTTTTGTTAATTTTTGTAAATAGTTAATTCGCATTGGGTTACGGATTATTGTTTTTATAATTTTTATGATAATTATTATATTAAGCATCCATGCAAATTGGAGGAATTATTATAATCATACTTAAGACCAATTCTTTGTTCTTCGTAAAAAGTTTATAATTTAGTAATCTTATAGATGCTTAACACATTTTTAAATTTATGACGAACTAATTTTAAATTTCTCTTTAAATCAAGCCAATCTTATACTTGTAGAACTCTTTAGTTATATTATTTAGAAAAATACACAACTTCTGTTTGGATCAGCTAAGTTTCAAAGTTTTCAATTTTAATTTCCTTTCGGAATTGAAATAGTTCTAGTCTTCATAAAACTTACAGAGCTTTTCTAGTAAAAAATATAAATTTAAACGATTTCAGGTTACTTTCTTTTCAATTTTTAAAAATGTGGTAAATATATTCACTTAAAGCTCTTCTAATGAAATTTATGAAAGATTTATAATATTTATATACTTTTGAGCGGGTTAACTTAATTTTTACTTTTCAAAAAATTATTTTTCTTACTAAATTCGAATAGTTATAGTCAATTTAATTCTTTTAAAGCTCTACGAGTAGAATTTTCAGAATATGCATAATTTAGGCTTAAAAAAATTTTAAAGAATCAATTTTATATTTTCTTTCGCTTTCAACTTCTTTAATTTAAATTTTATTTTAATTAAATTTTATGGTTTTTATTAATTAATTCTTATAAATTGAATTTTTCCCTTTTTTTTAAATTAATTATGAATTTTTTAATATAGAAGTTCAAATTATTTTCCCTTAAAAAAGACTGGTTCTTAACTTATAACATACCTATAAAAAGTTATTAATTTTATTGATCTAATTTTTTTTCAATAAAATTATAAATCAAAATTGTTAACGCTTTTTAATTGTTTTGTTTTCAGCATTTAATTTAATTTTCTGTATCAAATTTTTTTTTAGTTTTTTAATTTTTTTAAAAATTAAAAGTTATATCTTCATAATTTTCTAAAATAATTGCTTTTACTTAATTTGCTCCCAAGATTTGAATTATATTTTTAAAACACTATTTTTTTAAAAAAAATTGCAAGTGCTGATAATTTTTTTGCTTATAGTACTTAATTTGATTTTTGTTTTAAGTTCAATTATTCTTAATTTCTATACTTAGAAATTAAATTATAACGAAATTATACAATTTGTCTCCAGCATCGTAACTTATACCTTTTTTCTTTTTTGAATTTTTATTGTATTTAATTAATTTGCTTCAGCAATTATTTTTTATTACTATTTTTATAACTTTTTATAAATTTTAAAATTTCTAAATCTCTAAGTATTTTGCTTACAGCAATTAATTTCTTTTTTCTAATTAAAGGAAGAGCACTTTCTGAAGAACATGGGATCACTCTAATAGAAACCAGTGCCAAAGCAAATATAAATGTTTATGAAGCTTTTGAGGAAATTGCCAAAATGATTAAAAATAACATCGACAGCAAACCCACAAATTCTAGAAGTTTATCTTCTTTAGAACTGGGGAACAGCGGAAATTCGTCAAAAGGATGTTGCTGAAAAAATTAAATTTAATTTAATAAAAATTTAATTAAATTTTAATTAGTTAACAAATAATACATTTAGTAGGCGTGGGATTTTAGTAGATAAAAGATTGTTACGTGGATTTGTAATTGCTACAAGATTCAGCTTTGAACTATTTTTTTTTTAAAATTAAATAAAATTTATAAAAACTAAATTAAATATCACAAAAATTTAAAGCTATCAATAAAAAAGCTTAATTTTCTATATTCATTCACGTTCATCTTCAGCTTACCTTGAATTTTAAAGGGTAATTAGTTTTATACTCCAAAGCAAAACCTCCCAAACAAAAGTAAAAACTCATTAAAAAAATATTAAAAAAGAAAGTTACTATATTATCGGAGCTACTCTTCCTTTTTATATTAAATATTTAGTTTGTGTTCAAGTAACTTTAAAAAACTGTAATTGTGTTATTTCAATTTGCAAAGTTTTTTTTTTCTTTCGCTAAACATTATTTATTAGTTACTATTGTGCAACAGTTTTAAATTTATTTTTAAATTGTTATTTATAATATAGTATAAATAATTTTATTAGTGTTTTGTACATTATATACTGTAAATAACTTTCCATGTTTACCATATTTATTAAATATTAAGATGTTGTACTAATATATTTTAATATCGTTATTATATATTATAAATTATTTATCATGTTTAATAATTTATTTATTATTTATAAATTATGTCATAATTCTTGTATATTATTTAACTACAGAAAAACTATGTTTGCTCGGCGATTTTTTTTAATTTAAAATGCGCTTTATTAATATCTTTTGTTCTAATAATAAATTAAGCTTAAGGAGCGTATGAAATTAAATAACTAACAAATACTTTCTATGGTACCAATACTGTTTTGAACAAGAATTAAATAAGAGGGCATGTTGCAAGGAAAAGACACAATCATTTATAAAATGCAGTGAAAAAGAAAAGAAGTGGAAAAGAAGTACAAAAAACGCATAAAAGGGGAAGAAGTTTAAAAGTAAGTACAAAAAGTTTCCCTTATTAATGAAATGCTACATATATGAAATCCTCAAATAAGACAAATTTTTAAAAAAAATATAGATAACGTTCAAAGCTTATTAATGATTGGGTTTTGTGATTTATTGTTAAATTATGATTTATTTTAACTTTTTCTAAAGTATTAATCTAATAAAAAGTATGGACCTGTAAGTTTTATAAACTAATTAAAGTAATTCACAGAAGCTTAATTAGTACCTATGACTCTAATATAATTCATTTAAACCTATTATTGCTCTTTAAGTTGGAGGTACAATTTATTTTTATCTAATGTCCTACCGCATTTATGCAAATATAAACTAATGTCTTTAATTGGTTAATCTTGTAACTGGTATCGGTTTCTTATGTATATTTAGTATGTTAAGCTAAATAGCAAGTTTTTAGTGTAGTGTTTAAAAAATTTAGTGTTCGTATCTGTTTCCTCTTACACATTTCAGAGGAATTAAAAAGGTAATGATAAGAAAAATGTGCGTTATTAGAGGTAAAAAGTCTTTAGTTTCATTTTAAAGAATAAACAGTTAAGCGATATATCAAGACTTTCCAGTACTCCAGTACTAACTAAACATTATCATTAAAAGATTGTTAAAATAAAAATAAGAAAGTTACAAATGTTTTTAGTTTAAAGGAAAACCTTTAAAACTCTTTAAAAGTAATAAATATACACGAATATGAGGGAATATATATTGAAGTTGTTAGAAAACCACCATAGAACAATATTATCTGCCATATATATCCCTTATAGTGATGACTAGTTAAGTGTCCTAAGTCAGGTTCAATACCAGTATATATTTTTCCCGTGAAGCTCGATAAAAACACATCTCGGTTTGGATTTTCCTCCTCCTCACGATTTTTTTTTTCTTTTTTCCATTTATTTTAGTTTTTAGGCCCTTTAACGGTGTATCTATAAACTATTTGACAGAAATGGAGATCGTAACAGCACGTGCAAGATTTTTGGCCACCCCAAAAATGGATGGCCACCGCAATATCTTACCGACCTAACAAAACGAAAAAAACTTTTTTTATAAATATATAAAACAACATTTATATTTTTAACTTACTTTTGATATTTTTACTCACTTCTACTTTATGAACTTAAGTAAATTTTTTTCGACTGCTATATTAAATTATGTAAGTACTAAAATTAAATTCTCTTTCGTGATAGTGTTTTTTGTTGTTTCCTAACAACATTCGCCATAAAAATTATATTAAACATATTAAAGTACTTCACTTGCATAACTTTGTGCTAAAAACTAGAGTACTATTATTAAAATTGCAAGATCGGATATATATATAAAAAAACTACAGCTATAACTAGGCAATCTGCCCTAAAGAATAGATTACCAACCTGAAAAAAAAAAGGGAATAACAAAATAAACATTAAAAAAAAAGAGGAATAACTAGAAACAAAATATAAACTTTAATTTTTTTAATTAGAAAAACAAGACGAACTTCCTTAATAATTATTACGGCGGCTCCTAAAAGTTTAATTTGTGTTCTGAACACTAATCTTAAAACGGTTCCTAATGCAAACAAGAATTGATAAAAAATAAATTATTAAAACGATGCAATTATATCAATATGGTTGAAATATTGCATTTCTCCTATTATTCCTACAATATATCAAGTAACATTATTTAAATGAATTTTAACGAAATAATTATCGAGGGATCCGCCTCATATATATAGATATACTTGTAACAACACTATTTAGTTTCTATACCCGAGATACCTTTAGCTAGGCTGGTCTATGAATACAAGAAACTAACACTAGCACAAGCTGACCTGCAGCATATTAGTAACCAGCACCATATTTCTAAACTGAATTCACAGCACTATACTAACAGCACTGATAGCTAGCCCCAAAACTTCATGGTTAATTAGCCAATCGTTCAAGGTTTTCAGCCTAAGTATCTGACTGCAGTAGTGGTCCAGGGTTGTCCAGGAACGGGACATAGTGTTGTAATCAACCAGTCTTCAAGGCTTTCGGTCGCACGTACTCACCAATAGTATACTAGATAACTTAACTAGCTAATAACACTACTTTAACAGCTCTACTACCATATTACTACTGCTAGCACACCCCACATCCTAGCAATAGGCACTACATCATTCAGTCAACTTTCAGCCAATTTTCATCAACTTCAGCTAAGTTACGTTAACCGCACAGTACCTACCTCTAGTACATAGACTAGCAGTTTAACATGATAGCATCTTCCTACATACTAGCTACAAGTACATTGTTCTTTATTTAACTTTCGTTAACATAACAGCATTCATAACTAGCACAGTAGTAGCACTCTTACCACTGTATACTTTGTACAGAAGTACGCACAACTTCGTTGTTGTAGTACTTAACCTTCTAACTTTCTATAGCAGGCATCTTATATACGATGCAAAATAGTATTATTAGGTATCACTCAGGCTAGATACCCTCTTAATGGTTTCACCCACACCACTTCGGAAAATTATGTGTCAAGTTCAGTTATATAGTCTAACTTTAGTATAAAATTAACAAAGTACGTCAGAAGCCTTCGCCCGCAGCTATTCGCTCAGGAACGCAGGTATCACCAGCACTCCATTCTTCAGTTTGTCAGATCGAATTCTCTGCGGGACCCCAGTACGATAAGTTTAATACCAGTTTATGCGCAGGAAATAACTCTAGTATATCAACCAACACCGGAAACATTGCTAAAATAGCACTCATTCTCGGTTTGGCTATCATAAAACTAACTGTCACTCAATTTCTGATGTCAACTTTCTTTTAGTCAACATGTTTCTGCAAGCTACTGAACAGCTTACAGGGTATGCAGCATCTGCCAAAGATCTTTTGTATTTCAATTATTTTACCATTTTTAAGAGTATATCTTTCGATACGCAGGTCGTACTTAACACTCTCCTAGGTAAACGCTTACACTTGTCGCTAGGTCAGTTCGCTAGGCAACCATATTCAGAATTTCGAGTTAAATTCCTTAAGAGAATAGACAACAAGTTCAGAGCAAATATTTTAAACTTTCCTTATATAATTTCAACTCAAGTTACCAAGGTCTTCCATCCTGGAGAGTTACTAAACATCACAAAGCGGGTTCGTAACACCATTTAACGTTTTATCTACCCGAGGATGGACATTCTGTACGTGCACCTAGATTATGTTTGAATTTAGGCGTCGTTGTGGAAAATACTTATTGAACCCAACGACGCATGTTTACTATAGGTCCATTATTTTTCGGACGCTTCACAATAGCGATTAGGCGACCTTAACAGAACTCGTTACTTCGCTAAAGAGTGTATGGAACTTGACGAAAGTCGCTGGATATGGCTAACGGTCGAATTGACCCACCCACAGATTGGTCAATGCAGTTGCCAGTTTAGGTGAACTACAATGTTTCCCGAACAGGGCTTATAAGCTAGAGTCACAGCCAAGTTCAGAGTGACCGCCCCAGGCGAGCGCTCAAGATGTTAAAAGATAAAGATACGAAGCGTTGGCACAGGCAACAAGGTTCCGTTCTCTTTTTATGTCACTTTTAACCTCTTAATTATGCAAAACCGCCTCCAAAAGGGTTTAAATAATGTCAATAACCAGTAATGTTAACCATTTAACAGTGTTACTAACTCAGTAAAATAAACTACAAGAAATTAAAAACTAAATTTCTTTATTTCTTGGGCAAATAGCACTAAAAGAAAGGCATTACTAAGGTGTTGGCTAGGTTTAAACTAGTTTCTTCGACAAGAAGGTTTTAGCAACACTGAATACAATAAAATAAGATAATACTTTCTAGTCTTGTGCAACTAAATCAGTTACAACTAATAGCAAAGATATTACTCAAGCTCACCCATAACTATTTTTGATTAACTAAGTTGAATTTTATAAACTAATTAAATCATAAAGCTAAAAGCCCTAGAATTAAGGTAGTTTTTCAATAGTACCAAGAGGTTTTAAGGAGCTACAAATATACAGACACAAATCTACCACTTTACCATGCGTTAATAATGGTAGCTATTACTTTCCTCCTAATTCCCCTTATCATAATGACTTGTAGGCTCATCTTAGCTACTTCCCTGTAAATTCATTTGGATTCTACCAACTTAGCCCTCTCTATTTATTTATTGACCAAGTTTATTTTTAAAACTTAGTTATCACTGCCAAGAGTGATAGATATCCCTCATGAGTTAATTTCTGGGCTCTCCAAAACAGAAGAGTACGTTATAAGCTTAGGTTAGCAACTGCTTATTTAAAATCTTTGCAATAGATCAAAATAGTATAGCACACGACAAGGGCTTATCATTATAGTACAATCTTAGCATGGACTATAGAGGCATACAAGGTTAACAATGAAGGGTTTTACCAATTTTGTAGTTAGAGCCCTAAAGTTACCGTTAGTATTGTGTTACTTGTTAGAGCTAGCTTCCGGTTTAGACTTGAACAAACTTGAAACCCCTAAGAAAGTTACTTAGTTAGATTGTTGAGTATTTTTCTATGATGTTTTGTTTGAGTTTTATAAGGAATAATACTCCTTCGGTAATTTTGAAGACTAATTTACTTTTATGCTTTTGTTTAACGAGGCGGGAGCAGACTACTAGTGCAACAAGAGGCCTTGGCTTAACATGTACTAATGTTAGACCATTTTTAAATAATAAACTCTTCCATACCTCTATGCCTTCAAAAGGAATAACTAATTTAATTGTTACTCTCCCCGTAGGTGAGCTCTCAAAGGTCACTAGTGAAAGGATTGCCAGGTTAGCTGTTCTCATTGAATTTCTCATTAGTGTATTCCAGTAATTTATTCTTATTTAATTCGTCATTATTGGTATTTCTTAATATTTCTTTTAGGATATCACTCAACACGATAGGACAATTAATCCAAGCGAGCTACTCAAAACCTTAGCTACAAAACTGATTCAAAACCGCACGTAATCACTTAGTTAATGACACTCTTATACGCCGTAGAATGGTTATCAGAGGATAAGTACATAACTTAAGGAAAGTTTATTTAGTCAAAACCCTATAAATGCTGCCACGTACAGCTAAGTACCATTAATTTTTAAAGTTAGTTACAATGAATTCTTACACTCTAACGGAAGAAGACTGCTTTAGCTTAACACTAGATAATATTACTCCAGAACTAGATTTAAGTTGAAAGTTACCCTAATTTAGGCCAACAAGGTTCTTCCGTATCACTCATAAGCTATTCTGAGTCTTGTATTAGTATACACCTTGAGCTTCTGTCCGCAACTATCCACCGAGGACGCAGTATTAAATAAGTAGAGTCCATTACATAACTGAAACTGTTCTTTTTAGACTATAAAAAATAGCCTCGATTAATCATTAAGTTATTCAATTAGATTTTTATTATTATATAATATTAATTAAATTATTTTATTTTCTTAATTTATTAATTAGATTAGACTCTCTTCCATTCTACTCTAGGATTTTAGCAAGTTCTCTAGTTCTATTTTGTAGTTTGTTGGTAAGTGACAAGCGACCATTCATACTAAGGACCACAAGATGTCAAATAAGCTAAGCACTCTAAGGTGTAAAATGTCAGTTCATTTGATTATTAGACATGTAGCAAGCTAAGGTCCAATTGTGGTTAATAAGATTTACACTCTTTAGGAAAGTAGGCCTCTTGCGCTCGCTTGGTTGATTAACTGAGACCTTGATGACCCATAATTTATTTTTGGTCTTGTTAACTAAAACTCTTCAACTTTGGCGTAGAAAAAAAAAGGAGCTTTAGTACCGTTAGATAAGGTTAAAGTAGGTGCGCTCCTCGTCTTCTCGAACTTTTTTTTGTTCTACTTTTGTAGAGCTAGCGAGTCAGCTATCATATCTAGAGTGGTAGTTAATTAGTTTTGTTCTACTAAAGTGGAACTTTATAAGGTTATAGTAATTTAGCTCCATGCTCGTTCTTTTATCCACTTCCTATATGCTTATCATACCTTAACACTTTTAACTCAACTATAGTGCGGGGCTCGTGATGAACCATTGGTGGGCTGTGTCTGCAGAAAGTTAGCCCTGTTTGGACAACTAAACAGGCGACTGCGTAGGTTGATCTCTTACTGGGATTTATTCGACCTCTAGCTATAACTCACAGCTTTCGTCCACTAATGTACAATTTTGATTAAAGCAGGGTTCCATGATAAGATCCCCAGGCTGATCTCGCAAAACGCACGAAAAAGATCACGCCTCTATATTAAATTGAGCAGTACTGATTTTTGTTAGTTTGTGCCGAACTCTAGGGAGGGCTGTAGTTGTCATCTTTGGCTACAGTGCTGATCCGTCACGGTGTATATCCATCTGCCGGTGAATGCAACGTTCATTTTAGTTACGAAAGATCTTTGTGATATTTAGTAGCCCGCTATGATGCTTGTGGTCTTCTGTTGTGCGTTGAGACATAAAGTAAAAAATTAACATTGGAATCATTACAAAACAATCATTATATGGTTGCCTTGCGAAGGTACATAGTTATTAGGGTGGGCGTTGTCCGCAGAGAGATAGAGAGTTGTGTGATGTACGGTTCGAAAGAACTGCTCTTAATAATGGTAAAAACTAACTACAGACTTGGGTAGGTCTTACTTTACCTATGGCCTTAACCTATTTTATTTAGAGCTATGATGGTCGATGGAATAGAGCTGTGCAACGTATTTATGATGATGTGAGGTCGGCCGTTGCAATGAAGAGATGTTGTCACTTGCTTAATAACATTTGACAAATAGATGCTACTCTAGATATACTACTGTGCTTCCTGGCCTTTGCTCCTCGCGCTTTTCTACTTGGGGCGGTGTGCTACCCCTCGGCTAAGTAATGCTAACCCGTTTGCTTTAATGAATAATTGCGGATGAAAGCTTCAGTCAATACCTGTTATTATAATAAATGGTAAGTAAAAAACACTGCTAGCATGAATCTAAGTGCATGCGAAATCCGAACTGGTAGAATACATAGTGCTGTGATCACTTTGTGTGCGAAGTTAAATAAAGTCTGCTTCCAGTAATATGATTGAGTAGTATACAGTTATACTATGTTATTATACAAGTACCATACTGTGTACTAGCTTGAATCACTCTTTGGCTAACTAAAGTTGACGAAAGTATATAGTACTTACTGCTAGGATAGAGTTGAGTATTATCGTAGTAGTATAGTAATAGTACTGTATTAGTAGTATTGTTTACTAGTAGGTACTACATTTTAGTGCTTTCAACCCAGAAAATGCAAAGAACTTGTCAGTATCTCTTAATTCTTTGGGTTAATAGCGCTATCTCCTCTTCGTCAGGGGTGATTTTTGAAAATTAAGGATTCTAAAAACCGTTGTAAGGCTTACACAATTAGTTTCGTACTCGTTTTTTACGCGTGTCCCTGTGCGTGACTTTAATATACTTGAACATACTTTATCTCTTTGCACGGGGACTCGTACGGAACCATTATTGGACTTTGCATTACAGCTATCTAGGCTATTTTCAAAGCTCATGTTTTTAAAGTTAAGCTTTTAGGCCCCAGTCGTATAGGTCGGCTTCGTAGTGGAAATCCCATACAACCCATTCAAGTCGCATCGACCGTTAGCAATATCTTGTTGCTTTCGTCCAGTAGTGTACACTCTTTAGTGAAGGGAGTATTGCTGTTTGCCCTTAGGTCACTATCGTAAAGAGGCCAAAAAAAAGTGGCCCTATATAAAAATGCTCGTCAGTCAATGTATCAATTCCTGGCGGCTTCCCGCGGAGTTCGATATAAGTCAAGAGGTCGCCATCCGAAGGGGGAATGCAGTGTGAGTGCAACAATATCTGTCTAGGGCCATGTCATCCTCTACTTTTATGAGGCGTTTGCGATAAAAATCCAGTAACCTCTATGTCTTTGTAACTCTAACAATAGTACAAGATACGGCTAGTATCATTTTTGATACTTGAATTCATTGAAAACACAAATAGCATATTAAATTGATAGGTTAATTAACCTTGATTTTGCTATGCTATGAAAACCAATGAAGCGTGATTGTGGTACTCTCCTGAGTACAACCCTTTTGTGTGGCTCACGTTGTATTCGGAAAGTGATAAGATCTTAATTGCCCGTATCGAAAAAGATGCTTTTACAATAAGTAAAAATGCATAGGTTGCTTTAGCCCTGAGGCAAGCGCTATAATCCTTGTATCTTTTAGTGCAAATTATGGCTAACACCCTGCCTTGTGCCTTGGGGCTCTTTAGCGAGAAACTTGTAGCTATGAGATTGGCTAATGTTGTGTGTTGATAATTGGGGTAATATGCTAAATAACCTTAAACTTTGAACTTTGAGAGCTTAGCGTAGGATACTACATTGCCAGTAGAAGTTATCTATTCTTAATGTAATTAAGCAGCTCATGATGAGCCTTTAATGAAATATTGGCGAGATATGCTAAGTTGGCTAGTAATCTAACTTCTTCCTGTTGAGTACGTGAGAACAAAAGGTATGGAAGTAAGAACTAGCTAATTAGTGAAGACCAACAATATTAGTCGCTCTGTTTCGAGTAATTGGTAAAGTTAAAACTGTCTAATTGTAACGATAATGCAATTGTAAAATACAAAAAATTCGGTATCGGATTCACCAGTAATGGTATCCTGTATCTGAGATCATATGCGTTATAATAACTTCAAAATATAATCTATGACCTTATTTATATCTTTTATCATCTCGGTTTTATATTAATTCTATTTATTATTAGAATTGTATATTTCAACGTTATTTCTAAGTTAATATGTATATATAACAATATAAGAGTTACAAGTAACTTTATAATACCATCCATGCCTTTTTTTCAATAAACTCTATATAAGCTGTTTTACATGTAACATTTTGAATTTCTATTATACTTATTTATTTATTTATTAACGTTAACTACAAATCTATTTTGTATATAATAAATTTACACAAGTTATATTTCCTCTTAAAAGTTAGTTTTTCTTATAGTGAACACCAACACAAGCGTAATAAGTAACTTCTAGATACCCATAATCTTATTAATATGGCTTTGTTAAATTATATTTCATTTTTAGCAAATATTTATTCATTTTATACGTTAGTTATATGTTCACTATGTGTTTGTATTTTCACATAAAAAGTTATATTTTTAAATTGTAAGTAAACTCTCATCATAAATATTACAACATAAGCGTAAAAAGTAACTCTTTTATACCCAAAATTTTATTTGTTTTACTCATTTATATTACACATTAACTGGTAATATAATATATATATTATTTTACGTCAACAGTAAATTATTATGTTTATTATGTAGATACATTTATATTTTTAAAAAAAAAGATTCTTTTTCACTTTACAACTAAAGTTACATTCCTGATAAACACCACAAGATAGCGACAAATTTAACTTAACTTTATTATCAATGCTCTAATACTTATATAATATAGTATATATTTTTATAATTAAAAGAAGGAGCTTCAGTACATTGAAGTGTTGCTGTTGCTGCTTCGCGGTTTTTTGATCTTTTCAATATTTTTAATGATCATATCGTGTAGAGTAGTATATATATCCCGCAAATCTACACAATAAAATAACATATCTATATATTCTTTTTCATCTAATTCAGAAATGCTTAATTGGTAGTCCTGAATTTGTGGATACTTTAGTATCTGCGAAAGTATTAAAAGTTATTATTTACCCCCCAGAATAAAAGTTATAAAGTATAGATAAAAAATTAAACAAAGTCAAAATGTGAAAGTAAAAATATTCACATGCTAAACGCTATAGCTTTACACTGCGAAACTTCCTATCCAGTCTATATCCATCTATTGTTATCTTATATTAGTAACACTATGAGGATGCGTAAAATTGCCATCTTATAAAATTCATTTAAAGAGCAATATAAATGTAAGCAAAAACGTTTAATAAGCAGTTTTAATATGATATTGTTACGATGAATATTACAATACAAGAAAAAAACATATCCTGGAAGACTCCAAGTTTTTAGCTATTATGCATCAGTTAATGAAAAACCCCTTCAACTAAAAAGGATTTCTTTAAACAAAAATGTTAACGAATAATGCATCCATCACGTAAATGGTATTTCTACTTGAAATAAATTATCCTGGAAGCCACGTGCTTTGTATTTTCCTAATTATGCTTAATAGTCTTTTAGAAAATTACAAAAAGGTTCTGGAATAGCTAAGCACATGGTTCTTTTACAAAGAAAAATTTCTGTAAGGTCCTAAGCTCTTACTAAACTTTAAATGTTCTAAAATAAATTGAGCACATGGCTTTCATAGTATCCCCCCCCCGGATAATTCCGAACACACGTTATTAATCCTAACCTACTATTGATAAAAAAGACCATTGTATACTTTTGCTTGTAGAAAAAGTATTGAAAACTATTATTATTATATATTAATAATATATATATATAAACTGTTCTTGTTTATTATCATGATTATTACCTTTGAAACCAACTTTCCTCGTGTCACGAGGTAGTTAGCAATACTTTCCAGCGCCGAAAATCCGCTCCCCTCTACACGTGAAATTTCATTGATAGTGTCTTCCTTTGCGGTATTTAATAGATATAAAAGAATTTTTTTTAACTTTTCTATGACTCAAAGGTTTTACTGTTTATTTCTGACAGAATGCAATACTTTATACAATACAGCACTCGAAAAAAAAACTTAAGTTATATAAAACGCTTTACTTTTTAATTATATATTATATATATTTATTAATTTATTAGTAAAAAGGTTTATAATAACTGTTATGTTTAAAAATTGAAAGCATACTAAAGTATTTGGTATAAGGATAATAATAGTATGAACCCAAGTAAGAAAAAAGAAATAACAGAAATACATAATAACTTTTTATAATTAATAGTTTACTATAGTTTAAAAATATTACTATTTATTACTTTTTAATATTAGTTAAATAAAAATAAAATATATATGCATATTTGTATAACTCTTCTTTCAACCCAATAATAAAAGTTAATAATAATAGTTTTGTATGGGTTTTATAATATACTCCTAAAATTTTTTTTCTTTATAAACTTTTATTATTTTTTATAATACAAAAACACTAAAACCTGTCTATTAAAAATCATATAACAAAATTAATATGAGCATATAAAGAGCGTTATATACTAGTTTATTATTTCTCTTATTCTTCATTGTTCATATTGTATTTTTATTTTTTCTTAAAATTTATTTTTTAATTAAAAAAATTTTCATCATTTTGTTTCATAAATTTCGTATATTTTATTTATTTCTTATTTTAAATACGTATATAAAAGTTTTTAAATGAACTTTTACTATAGTTAAAAGGATTTCATGTTCCCAAAGTAAACTTTTCTATTATTTTTAAAAACTTATATTAAGATCATACAAGTTTAAATAAAGTTTCGAAGCTTCTAGTTGTTATAATATTTATTTACTGTTTCGTTTTAAAATAAAATTTTACTTAGTAAAAATATAAAAACTATAATAAAAGTTTCTCCTTTTAATAAAAGAAGAGCTCTAAAAGTACAACCTTTTATTATTAAGTTTAATAATACTTTATATTCCCGTAACCAAAAGTATGTTTTTATTATATTCTTTAATTTGGTCTATAAATTTTTTTTATATTGTTTTTAATATTTTAACTTTTAACAAATTAAAAAAACTTGAAGTTTCTTGTATGAATAAATCTAAAAAAATCTTCAAAAATATAAGCGTTCAAACCTTTTATAAAAGTTTTAAAATATTTTAAAAAGTTTACAGTTTTCTATTATTGTAATAAAAGTTTATCTTTCTCTATAATAATTTATGTTTATATAAGATCTATACCTTAACTATCGTTTTTATTATAATATGTAAAAGTTTTCTATATAATTATATTAAACAACTTTACTTTTTCATCAGTTTGTTTATTTCTTTTAATGAAAAGAAACTTTACTCAATATAAATTTTAATACACCTTTTTCCCCCTATACTCTTTATTTAGTCATAAAAGTTTTTGTTATAAAAAAATATATAAGTTTTCTTATACAATACT